TCCTGTTCACAGGACAGAGAGCACTGGCAGCAGGAAAAGCACAGAACCCACAACAGTCTTGTGAAGTTAGAAGGGCTCCCATGGCAGTAAGAGAGAGCACGTCAAGTGGAATGCATGATTTACTTCTTCCCTTTGATCATCAAGATCCTCTCCTGAGTCAGGCCTTAAAATATTCTCAAAATCAGAGCAGCTAGATAGCAAAAAACCCTAAGGAATAACACATTTTATCTACGCCACTACCACAGTGGTACACTGGATGGGTTATTTCATGGCCTTCTCCAAAACCGCAGCAGTAGTGATGATCTGTAACAGGGAAAGGTATCCGTCTTTCCTCACCATCAAGTGTTTGGTCCACTTCAGCAATCAAACTGAAAAAAGCCTGACAGAGAGTTGATATCATACTGTTATCACACCAAGACACCTGCTGTTGTAAAACACCATCCAAAAAGTATCTGAAAACGTGCAGCAGGCTCTTCAAAGCAGCTTCTGTCAGCTAAAGAGACACTTCTCCTCCTGGGGCATTTCCACGTTTCCCATCATGTCCTGTTTTTCCCCTTCATGTGACACTTCACTGAAGACTTTTCTACAAAAGCCCACATGGGGCTTCCCTTTCAGGTGTGAAGCCTTTGACAAATATGAGGATATCAAAGAGCAGCACGGCACAGGGAAATATTTAGGGAATTTTTTTTTTTTTTTAAGTAACATTAATATCATACTCAACATCAGCAGCATATGGCCACTTCCTAAAATGATACTCAACTCATGTAGAGCATAAATTATTATTTCTGTAGTATCCCAATAAGTACACAAAGCCAAGGTTGCAAGAATAAACTAAGCTGCTCCTCGGAGCGAAGGAAGCCAGTCCAACTCTCTTTAGCCGCTTGTTCCTGTCCCCGTGGCACTTCTCTTATGCTGGAATGCAAAGCAGCTGCACAAGAGCTGGGCCAAGGAACTCATCAGGTTAAAATCAAGCAGCAAATATTGAGGAGAAAAAGCCCAAGAAGTATTTGAGCCTGGCTGAGTTCCTCAGTCCAGCTCATCACGCAGCCACACTCGCATTTATCAAGTTTTTGCAAAGAGTAGTTTTATCTACAAGGCAATAACAAATATATTCAAACAAGTAATCCACGCTGGTGTAAAACCAGCCACAGATTTTGGGCCAGAAGCATATAAAATCCCCTCCCTGGTTAGGAGCACACCTTTACTGTTTGCTAACCAGAGCAATCATTTCCTATTCCGGCATTCAGATAAACTCTCCACAAAGGAAGAAACCAAGTATGTTCAATCAGTCCAACAACTGCTGCTTTTATACAGGACGCACTCCAACAGAGTCCTGTACATCCACTCTAAGCATCCCAACTACAACTACATTTTCATACAAGTTTGCCTATTTGTATTGTAAGAGACTGGAGAATTTGCACACCAAGAAGTACTCGGAAGATAGCTCAGGAGGTGCAAAAGACCAACATGGTCTCCAGATATCAGGCACGGCCCTTCCGGCTGCAGGGAGGGAGGTTTGCAATTAAGGCAAAGCAGGTTACAATGGAAAAGAGACAAGGGGGAAGACATGAGGACTGCAACTTCTTTTTGGCTAACGTGTCAGCCAGTTTTGCTTCCTGATGACTATAAATTTGCAGACCTGAGCACTAATGAAAAATAAGGCTCACCAGAGCAGCTTGACCTAACTTTGAGGTTGTCCTTGCTTCAAGCTGGGGGGCTGAACAAGGTAACATCCAGAGATCAACCTTCCAACCTAAATAGTTTCACGGTTCTGGTCTCCCCCGCAATGGCAGAGCGCTCCACTGGAGTATTGCCATCGCTTCTTCCTCTTCAAATCCTGCTTTGGTCTTACTACCTGATCCTGAAGGGGAAGGGTTAAGGACTGGGCAGAAGCAGGTGACATCCCACACAACCAGCGAGGTTTTCCTGAGCAAGGGTGTAGCCATTCCTTTGAAAGGAGCCGGCACACTATTACAGGACTTGTTTGGAGAGCGCTGCCCTCCTGTTCAGCCAAGAAGGGCAACGCTCCCATCCACAATCCTGGGGTTTGGTTCAGGGGTTTTTTGGGCTGGTTGTTTCTCTGATAGGATCAAGCAGCAAGCAAGCACATAAGGGGATTTTTCCAGCCCTGCTTTCCTCCCCATCGCCTGTGTTTGTCCTACAAACCGAGTAGGGGTACTACATGCACAGTAAACAAAGCAGAGTCCTTGCAGGCCCTCTCAGGGGGGACAACATCAAGATGACACTTTGGGCTGTCCATATGATGGACACTCAGCCAGGTAAGCTTGTTCCCAATTAGTCAATGCAGTTCTGTGAAATTCAGAGTCAAAAACGGGCTTTCCTTTGAGCACATCACCCAGTGCAGTATCTGTTTACCCTTTTCCAGGCAGCCCTGCTCTCTCTTCCAATCCTGCACCTCAGAACCCAAACTTAGGTTTATCCCATTAATATCCTTCACGACTGTGAAGATCCCTGCTCGATCAGCCAGGATCCACTTTGACATGTATGAATAGCGTCAGCACACCCATCACGTCATGGCACGGCTCCCCCCTCCCCCATTCACTCAAATGCTGGCCCTGGGGCACACAGCAGTGAATGGTTTTTCAAGAGAAGATGGTGGCCATAAAGCTGTGCAGTTTCTTCCAAAACGCGTCTCATCTGATGAGAGGCTGACATCTGCATGCCTTGGTGGAAGACACAGCTAAGCCAAAAAGGCACTGCAGTGATCACTCCTGCTTAAGAAAATCCCACCACTGGAAGAAGAGAGAAACAGTTCCCAGATGATCTGCCAAGCTGGAGAGGCACAGCGGGGCACATTCGCAGCCAGGCTCAATTAGGAGCACTGAAATTCTGCTCTCCTGTCTTTGAGGAGGAGACCAAGCTCTTCATTGTCTCAACACTGCACAGTGCTTAGGGCTTCTAGCCCTGTGATGCAAACTAGAACAAAAAGACCCTAATTACAGCCCTTTTATTACAGGGAATGCCATCCTTTTCAGCCTTTATATGCCTGTCAAGCAAAGCACAAGGAAGACAGATTACCCAGTAAGCTATACAGATGCATGAAGCTGTGTAGAAGTTGAATATTATTGAAAATTAAGGAAAAGCCATGAGAAGAACATGCTAAAGAAATGCTGAACACCAGCGGAAAGAAAAGTGAGTGGGAGAGATTTGTAGATTAAGGAGGATAGAGAAGGAAGATCTTATTGAGAACTACGGCTATGCAATAACATAATAGCCAGCAAATCAAATTACTAAACCGGTAGATTATTCTGCACGTTATGTCAGGCCACAATGTAGAAACGACCTCATTAACATTGTTCTACTCTACACACAATTCGTGTTGTGCTTACAGACCACACTTTGAAACAAAAGCCCGGGCAAACCTGGCAAAGGAGAACAAGCTCTATTTTGTCATAAAAGGCCGCGTGTACATAAAACGCCATAAACCTCAGCTGCTGTTCTATGAACTGGAGGCTAATTAGAAACATATTTTGTATTTTGGGGCAGGTGAAACAGGTTAGTCCTTTCCAGGACTCCCGGAGGCAACTGGTGTACATCAGCCTCCCAGCCATGTTCACAGTGGTGCCTTAACCTATAACCAGTCCCAAAAAAAGAGCGGGGGGGGGGGAAGAAAAAAAAAAAAAAAAGAATCCTGAAACACCACGGGGATTTCTTAATGCATTTCAACAAAATCCGAAACCGCTGATCTTAATTGTGGTCAGCACAAAATAGTACACTGTGACAACACCTCGAGTCATTGAGCAAAGCAGGGTATTTTAAAGACTTGCTCATCTGAGAGGAAAAGGTGGCACTGTGACATCTTGGGAAAAGATGCCATTCCCAGTTTTGGCACGAAACTGCACTGGTGAGAAATGAAAGAGCAAAGTTCGATGCTGGTGCCTTGGGGAGGATCTAGCAGGCTGCCAGAATTTCCACGCGTTAGAACAAATGTAGGACTTCCAGAAAGTACAGAGGGAGCGCATGTTCAGACATTAAAAAGTGACCTGAAAAGGAAGAGAACTGGGTTTGTGCCATTTTATCTCACTTAGAGGGAAAAAAAACAGCCAATAGCTTTTTGGGAGGAAGAAAATCTGCCTGTTTTATACATCAGACATTCAAGCCCTGTCTAGCCCACAAGATAATGAGATGGTGACATGCCAGGAGCCAAAAGTGGTAAGGCAGGGGCATTTTTAGTATCAGATGAACAACTTTCATTAATAGCAATTTAACTTCAACAAAAAAAACCCCAGTGCCTTGGGTAAAGACTGGCACTGTTACCATCTTTGTTTTTCTTCCTTTAGTGTTCTAAGATGCAGAAAAATCAGCATCACTGAAACTCGAGTTTGAAACAGGTTTCCCCCGCTCCCTTTAGGCTCTTTCAGGCAGTCTTGATACACCTTAAGAGCCAAAAATAAATGCACAAATCCAAGTTTTCTGTATTTCTTACTCCTTTGAAGGTCCACTTAACAGAATTACCAGATCTACTTGGTTTCTTTATTCCCAAAGCTACAAGAACCAAACAATACCTGAAACCTGCCTAGTTTAATTCAAAGAACTATTTAAGAACCAAGTTCATAGAACTAACTGAAAAAGAAAAATGTGCAAACCCTTGGTCTCTTCAACCCTCCTCTGCAGGAAGACTGAGAATTAAAGGCTTCTTTAAGAACTTGTATTGGCTTATTTGAAGTTTAAATTAATTTAGCTAAGTGGAAGTCATATGTGAAAGTATCTTAAGTAAAAGGCCATCAGCTCGAGCACACGCTCTGCTGTAAGGTCTGTACCTTCTGTATAAATAGAAAGAATTCAGCGCAGGTCTCCTAAGTGCAAATAAAGGAATGCAAATTTAAAAATATATAGGAAACCACAGAACTTGCTACTCAAGTCTCCTCATTTTGTATTCAGACGGTTCTACATAATTCATCAGAAAATGCACCACATCTCTCCAGTTTGTGAACAGAAACCGATTCAGCTAGGTTTCACTTTTCTGTTCTCTCATACAACAATTGCCTAACTTTCCTTTCCTCTTCTGTCTCCCAGGGCAAGTGGGAACAAATGTATCTCACATTCTCCTGTTGCAAAGGATTACCCAGATTTCAAGCTCATGTTTCAGGAGGACTGGTATTTCTCTCTTATACCTTCCTCTTGGTAAGACAGGAAGTTTTCTTCCATGAATGAAGACCACATAGTACAGGACTGCAGTTCAGCATCATGCTTGGAAAACTTGAGAAAGCACTTTACAAAAGCTAGACACGGCAATGGAGACCATGGTAGCAATTAAATTACTTGGAGAGTTTTTCCCCACTGAAAATGGGGATTTTTGCATTGGATGGTACCTGATCCGACCCCCTTCTAGGTTCTTCAAAATAATTCAACATAGAATCTGGGCTCTGACTTGCAGTCACTCAAGCAAATAGCTGTGAAGGCACAAGACATCCCTCCCCAAACACGACTGCCTCATTTTCCTGCTAGAAACAGAAGGGAGAGAGTAAGGACAGATGTACATGTGCTCCGACTGTGCAATTCCTATCCCAGCATATTGCGACAACCTCACGCTACGGCAGGAAAGGATTTTACTTGGTTCCTCCCTGCACAGCAGCAGGACTGCGTCCCTGTCAGATAGGCACTTGGGTTTCTCCGTGCCTTTGGCCAAAGGCCAGTAGGCAATTCAGGCAAGAGGTGGTGGTGGCTGGCAGCCCTGCGGCTCTGGGGCTGATCCGGTTCTCCGGAGGCTGTGAAGTTCCAATTGCACACGTTCCAGCAGCCAGCACTGCTCGCACTTCATGCTTATAACAGTGTGATATTACCACCTTCCGCATCTCCGCTGCCCGCAAGAAGTCGGAGATCATTACAAGAGATGGGTTATGTTTCCTGCCAACTTTCCCCTCAATTGAATCTAGCGTTGGTTTGGAGAGAGAAGAATTGCGATATTGTCCTTCAGTTAATTCAATTGATATGGATACCGTAAGACTCCAGGACAGTTGGCTTGCTTGTGTCTGGTGTAATTACCCTGACGTTATTTTTCTTCCCATTGCTGCTTCACAGCCTGGGCTCCAAAGTATTTTCTTGCTATAGGAGCATCTCGTATGGTATTAGAGAAAGTAGCTTAGACAGGGATGTTCAAGGACAACAGCTCTTCTGCTGCTGACACCAGCTTACAGGAACTAAAAGATAAGCTGGGCTGATGCCAGCATGGCTTGGCCATAATAATTTCCCCTCCTCACCATCCTCTGGATGGGTGTTTCCCAAGAAAACCCATCTTACTCTGGCCATTCAATACCATTTCTGACATTTAGAGCAATGTTTTAAATACCACTAGCATGGCTCCTACCTGGCAAAACCTAGATCCTGGTAAAAGGAAAAAAAAAAAATTACCATCTTCACAATAATATTTCTGTCTACACTTAAGCTTGTGGGCAAGCAAGCTGCAGGAACCCTCATCATCTTGTCTGAAAGAGAGACAAGTAGCTTCCTATTTCCAGTAGCCAGTGTTCGTGGCAGTTTATTCATGTTTGGTCTACACAAACATAAATGCATATATCATTTCAGCCTTTTTAACGAGCGCAGAATCCAGTAATGGAAAGCTTAACATTTGATCATAACAAAACCCAGCACGTAAAGCTCAGATCCTGGTCTTTAGCAGCACAACCAAGGTTGGGGCAGGTAGCAGACCAACAGACCTACGGCCATGACCAGTATCACACCCCTGACTGGCTGTGGCAGCACCTGATCTGGCTCCCGAGGGCTTTGTCAGGGGCAAAATAGGACTGCAACACAGGCAAAGTAGGGCTGTGGTCATTCTGACATCTAAAATCTTTGATACCCAAGGCTAAAAGCTGCTTTACACTCAGACATTTCCAGCTATTTGGCTACCCAAGCTTAACAAAAGCAACACCTGAAGACCAAGCAAACTTTGAGCAAATTTGGTTCAGTTCTTGAGCCACAATAACAGCTTTGAACACACCCACCTCCAAAAAAAAAGCCAAGTTCACTTTATTGAGCAATGTTCAGCCTCCAAGCAGGGACCACACAAGCCTCAGCCCAGGAAACAGAAAGAAGCAGCCGAGACCGCACGATTTCAGCCTGACTTTAACTGGGCATTTCAGCCTGATGGGTGTTTCTGCTTTCACCATAATGAGACATTCCAGTTCAATGAAAAACACACAGCCAGCCCCAGAAAGAAGCAGCTGCTGCTGCAAACAATACCATTAACCAGTTACACAACAGAGCTAAGGAAACAAAGCAGCCATTTCCTCACACCTTCCCCACCTTCTTCCACCCTCCTGGCTCAGCAGTCGTGAGACCCAGGCCTGCTCCTAACAGCCCCCGATGGCATCTGCTGCTTTTGTTTTCTTGCCACCATGCCAACCTTTGTTTTAATCCATCCCCAACTGAACAAATGCTGAAGTTTCAGGCAGAGTTGGGCTAGCTGGAACAAAGACATTTACATAATAAAATCTTAACAGCTGTTCTGCCAGTCTCTATCTGGAATCCTGCCCAGCGGAAATGAACAGCTCCTTGAGAGGCCAACCCAGGGGATTTAAAGGCAGATGTAAATTATCACAGCCAAATCAAGCCACGGGTGGTGGTAACATGTTTCACACACTTGGAGTGAAGCACAGATTTGCTTAGGGAAGCCATTGGTGCCAGAAAGGAGCCCAAAGACTTAAGAACTTGAGATTCCTTCGGGTCTCGAATTAACTCTTTCTTACATGAGCACACGCCACTGAACCTGAAGAACCTCACTGGATTCAAGGTAGTAACAACTATTTGCTCTTCAAACAAGAGTACTTCAGCGTACTGTGGATTTTAAGGCTTGCTCTTAACTAAAGACATGCAACAGAAAGAATCCTAGTACAGAGGAATTAGGCTGTCATTCTTCTTTTCATCTGATAAGTCTATGTATAAATATGAGAAAAAAGTCCCACCTTTGTGTTCGCTGCAATCCAATTAGAAGTTTCACTGTCATCATCACACTTCTTAATCCATTTCTTTAACCACTGTTAGAAAAATGAAGAGAGAATTACATTTAAATAGTGGAACTGTAAACATTCCTAGACAGCTGCTTACATTAAGGTAATGGTAAGGAATGCATAACCTCATGGGAATATGGGAGGGGGGTGGGGGGCGGAAAGCAGTGCAAACAGCAACAAATTTAGCTGCAGACATTTCCTGCAGCACCGTCCTGATCCAGCAAGCACGATCACTCAGCACAAACACTTCAGCAGTGAGTTTGCAGTTCTTAACTTCAATTGGGACTCTAAAATAATACGGATGTTTTAACAGCGAGCTGCCAAAACTGCAGTCAGACCCTCTGTGATGCCTAGCTTTACATCAAGTCAAGTTTTTCTTAGGCTTGCAATGCTCACCTTATGCTTTTCTTTTTAAATCCTTACTGAGAACATGGCTTTAACAAATGAATGCAAGTAACAGAAGCAAAAGCCTGCTTGCACCTGTTAGATAATAAACTGACCACATCTGGCCTGGAAAGACCAGCTAAACCACGCTAAACCTTTGGTGAGGTTTCCCTCCCATGTCCCCAAGGAAGTTTTTTTTTTTTTGCATTTGTCACTAGAAACGCAGACTGCTCTGTCCCCAGGGCATGAAACACGGCTGTCTGTGAGTTCTGCAAGGGCCACAGGATCCCAGGCTTGATTACAGCTTTCGACAGCTCCACAAATAGTTCTAGAGTTCACTGCACGGCAGCAGGTCCCAGGAACAAATTAATTGCTTCAGTACAACACAACACAAGCCTGCCAAAGCACCAAACACCTACAGAAACACTGAGTACAGGAATGCTTGTTGTCAAGTGAAGCGTTCACCCCTGAAGCACCTTCATTCCTCTTCAGAGGGTCACAGCTGTAACAGTGTCCTCCTCCAGACACTTCCCCAGCTGGGGTCCAACTCTGAGGCATCCTAAAGGCATCCCATATGATTTCACCAATTCTTCTCACACTATGATCTAAATAGGTGAACTACTATGCTTCTTGAACAGTCACAAAGCTTGTGCTTCATTTCTACGTCTTGCACATAAATTGATGTTAAACTTTTTTAAATCATGCATTTAGAAAAGAATTTTGATGCACTCACCTTGCATTTAACAGGATCATGCCAGTTTTCACCACAGTTAAAGCTAGAAGTGAAAGAAAGGGGAAAATAAACAAATAGGGGAGATGATTATACTTCTATTTAACTAGGTTAACACTGTGGAAGTTTTCTTCCGGGCTGTTCTGCTGAAAGACCAAAGCCAGTCCTAAGGAAATGTTATATATGTCAAAAAACCACCCCAACCCTCAAATCCATCAACAGCCATTTCAGAGCAGTATACATTTCAGTACACTTTGATCCTCTACAGTGCCTGCAGTCAAGACCCTCACCTAATCCAAAACCATTCGGCTGAAGTCCACCTCTCAGTGAAAGCTAGATCTGTCCCCATGTCAAAGGAGGCCTGAGAGACAAAAGCACAACAGCTACGTAGCGATATGCTTCACAACCAGCTGTACCCAGTACTGGGTTACCCTTAGAAGCCCACCCCATACTTCTCCCACCATCTAAACCACATCCCAATATAAAGACTTGCAGAATACATACTAATACACCTTTTCAAGGTAGGAGGTAAAAAGCAGCATCAACATCTTTAACTTGTTTTTCTTACCAAAACTGACGTCCACATTTGCAGCGAACGGGTTTAGCATCAGGATATTGGACTTTAACAACGTGGTGGCAATCTGGGGCAGGACACCATTTTAACAGTCGATTACACTATGAAACAAAAGGGGAAAAAAAAAAGCCATAAGGACCCCATCTGCCCTTCATCCTTTTTTCACCCTTTCAACCATGACCTTCAGTCACAGTCCTTCCTGTCTTACCAGTCCTCTGCACTAAGAGGGCTGTCTCCTCAAGCTAAGCATTTACTTTCTTTCTACTGAAAGAAAGCAGGAATACAACAGTCAACTCTTCACTGTCAAATGGCCTCTTATGAGAGATGAAGACTATAAACACTTCTGCTCACCTCTCAGCTCACCCAGAGAAAATATTTGAAGAATACAAAGCTTTCCGCTGAAAAAAGCATCTGTCAAGTTGTTTGCAATTACCCATCTCTGTTCCACCACCACAACAGCCTTTCTGAAACACTGCTCACACCACGCACAGTAGCTTTCTACAGGTACCACTTTCTAACACCCCTTGAACACCATCTCATCGCCTGTTCCTGCTGTACTGTGGCCAGATATGGGTCCACACTGCTAGACTTTTGTCAATCTTTCAGTCTGCAATAAGGGTTCATCTCCAGCACTGCATTAAAAAACCCACTGCGTACATTACTCCAAACAAGGAGTGGAAGTTTGGTCCCAGTAGCAACTTGCTTACTGGGCTCTACAGTGAATCTGAACGCATACAACTGGGAAATTGGGACAGTGGAAGATCTTCCAAAGCACCTTTCTCTAGGTGTATTTTGATTTTGAAGGTGCAAAGCTATTAGTATTTTGCCAAAAGCAATATTGCAGCTTTACTTCCAACGGCATCTGTTTGCTCTAAGTCTTTTGTCCTGCAAGGTGTTTTTATATTTTCCTACAACTATACCTATAACTAAACAGGCTATAAAATAACCGCTGCAAAGCCTCTAACTTGTGGTTACACTTGATTAGAGACTATGCAAAAAAAACAAAAACAAAACCAACCTGCTCTACAGTTATAAAAAAGCCTCATTTCTCTGTTTTGGTGCATGTGTGAAAAAAAACCCCAACCTAGAAGCCATTAAATTTCAGATAAAACACTCACCTCTACAAAACTATTGGTTATTAAATGCTGGTACTTTAATTTAACCTTAGAATCTGTGATCAGGCGCCTGTGGAAAGGGAAGAAACACAGAAAAATTATCGTAGTATAAAACTCATCTTTTCCATATGTAGCCAGTAAGTTCAGCCAGACAAATTATTTTGAGTCTTCCTTCTTGCTTGTACTTTTTTTTGTACTTACCTGTCCTCTTTTTATTTACTATATTACATTGCTATGAAATCCACAACTACTGTGTTTAACTTTTCATATTAGCTTCAGAATCATACAGAAAGCTCATGCAGTTCAAGGGAACTGAACCTCTTGGTGTGGGTATATATATTTTTTCTTAAAGACACTTTCCTCAACAGCCCAATAAACAGAGCAAACCATTTCATTAGTTCGTTTACATTAAACATGCACATTTTGTGGCAAATCCCTTTAAAAAAAGCTCCAGAACAACTGATGTGTGGTTATCAGCTTTGGTAGATCTAATGTTTTCTGGGCTTCTATGGAATGCTGCAGCTTCGGTTTAATGTGGTTTTAATCTATTTACCATAAAAACAAAGTTGATTTAAATTCAACATCATAGAGGGTGTGCACAACGTTGACTTTAACTTTAAATTAAGTCAGTCAGCTTGGAAGCAGGAGAGCAGAAGAAAAGCAGACAGATAGCAATCCTTTAAAAGCACGACAACCGCTTTTCTCCTGGACACACTGCCCCAGCTGGCATTTGCAGACTATCCAGCCTAGATGCATTCAAAATAATTTAATTATGTATTGCTGAACACTTTTCTATACATCTTCCAGTTATGACTGAAGTGTCTTCTGCATATATAAAAACTCACCATATAAAGTTGGACTAATACGCACTTTGCCGTATTTCTGTTTTAAATCAAACTGTGGAACACAGCTTTATACAGGCCACACCACTTATAAATATTGAAATTAATAGATTTCAGGCTGCAGCCAAAATCAAGCGTATGTATTCCTGCATGTTATCATGCCAACGTTCATTAACGACAGCACATGTGATGATGCGATGCTGCATAAATCCTAGCCCTTAGCAGTCTGGGGAGCTCCTCACCAAATGACTTGTTGGTTATTACATAAACATAGCACACGGCAGCCAAATTCTCACTGCTAAAATAATAAAACAAATCAGCTGACAAAGCATCTCATCAGGCCCAGGTCCACGGCAAGCCTGCGATTTTGGAGTGAGACTTACTGAGGAATGAAAAAACAATTTGAACTTATAATACAAATTACAAACCTTACTTTCTTACTCCATACCCAAGCTCCTAGGCATAATAAATGTCACTTTAATAATGTATTGTATTATATGTATCTATCAGGAACTGGAATTTAAATCAAGAGTACTGCCATAGCAAACTGGAGCACACAGAGCACACAATCTGCTGGTTTTTGCTTACCAAACTGCCTATGATCACTCTGTGTTAGCAACCTCACCTGCTCTAGGTTCAACAGCACTTCCACAGCACTGCTCAGGTCAAGACCTTCAAGAACTTTGCTCTGAATATTACTGTCTTTTGACAAAAAAAGCAAGTGAAACTAGACAAATTAAGTGATGAAAACCATTCCCAGTGCCCATGAACCATCCTTTGGGGGTACACTCCTCTGTGAGCCAAGCTATAAAAGCAGCAACTGCACCAAAAAAGCCAGGTTGGAAAAGCAAACTGCTTGCAAAAACAACTTAACCCTTGACCTCTTCTGGCAGCTCAATTCAGAACTACACAATCTCAAAAATTTACCCAAAGATGGCAGCAATCCTTTATCAGACCCTAAGTTTTGTTCCATTTTGATAATGCAGACTCCTCAAAGACACCACTCAGTGGAATTAGCAAAATGCACATCGTGTGAGATGTCAAACACCCTCCCAAAGGAACAACTTCAAGACCTTACTGAATTCTGATCTGAGGCAGAAGCGTTGGTATCTGCAATTATGCAAAAAGAAGATTAAAAACAAGGCGGCGCTCCATACGACTTCCATACAGGAACCCAAAATCCATCCATTCCCTCCGAGTGGGTTGATTCTCAGAAGTTGCTACCAGACTGCTGCCACCCACGAGCGGTGGCCGTTAGACACACCAGTAACAAAGGCAGCCTGCCTTGCTTATTAATGAAATCAACATCTTTGCATGTAGATTAAAACAATTATCATCAGCATTAGCAAGGGTGAACAAGGGATAGAAACATACAATTTTCAGCCAGTTTGAAGGTCTTCAAAGAGCTGAAAGGGACCCTCTCTTCAACCTTCCTACTCAAGCTCAACAGTAACGAGGAAAATGGACAATAAGCTAGCTACATACTCAAAAATCCAGGAAAGTCATCTGAATTGCTAACTTTGGACTCGTATGGAGATAATGCATCTTGGAGATACGCTGCCTTCCTGAGGGCAAGTACTGAGAAGAAAGCAAATAAATAACTTGGCCAATCTACTTTGATTTTCTGATGGATAAAGAAACTTATGTCTCTATACATTGCACATTAATCTCAGGTTCCTGTAACTTACAAACCTAGAGCTGGAGACTTTGTAGAAAAGATAAGACCTAAAAAGAAGATAATTAAGGACATGGGAGGGGGTTCAGATTCCAGATGGAATTACTTATATTTTTATTCATGCCATGTCATAAGATTGCCGCATCTTTGCTTTTAAAGGAAAGCATTAGGCTTTTGGGGGGGGGAGGAATGCACCTCCCTCTCCTAGACATTCCAGGTATCCCCTGTAAGATCAGGGAAAGGTGGATTTTTACCTCCACAAAACATTTATAGTTTTACTTAGACAAAGAGAACTTGTTTGCTTTACACCTAGACACCATTTTACTGTTGTAGGCCCCAGATCTCTCTGCCATTTCTAGGTGGGGGAGAATCCCACAGGACATGATGAGAGTTGAAGACTGCACAGATTCACCCCAGTGTCATGGTTTTCTGTGCTATAAAAGCCACGGAGTGACGTAAGGATAGTCAGACCTACTACTAATATCAAGCAATAGCAACAGAAGCCATAGCAACAAGAGCCAGCACTGCTCTCCTTTTCTTCCATCCTTGCCTCGCCCCTGCTACCATCACAGCCTCCGCTGATTTCAGCTAGCCTACCTGACACGCACCGTTTCAACAGCTTATTCAAACTGTTGCAATCAAGAAAAAAAAACCTCAAGAAATGTCTTGCTGAGAGTGTACAACACCACAAGTTGAGTTCAGACTCCAGTAAACAAAAATCTCAAATCAAGTCACTCAAAATATTACGCCAGCTTCAGTTCAGTTTCCACCCACTGAACTCTACAAGCCACCCAACAGGGCATGAAAACATTTCAGCTACTTCCACACTTCTACCCAGCCTACACTTCATGACTAACATAGAGCCACTAATGCAGAGGGATCTGGGAAATCACTGGTCTGAAAGCAACTGATATAAAACCCAGCAAATTAATATCAATGAGTGAGTCAGACTTCAGGAAGGAAGGAAGAAGGTAACAGAATAAGCTTTTATTTAGATGCTTTTTAGCATGAAAAATTAAAATGAACTTAATCAAGGTTCAGAATGCTGAAGGATGTTACTCATGCAATAACATCACCCAACATAAAGGAGAAGGAAGCTCATGGAATTGACTGCTCCACCATGTACAAGCAGTCATCCTACAGCTGGACAACTTAAGCAAAGTGACACAGGCTGACATACCAGCTTAATCAAATCCTATGTTCAAGGTCAACTGCTTCTTATCAGAGGGCATAAAACACACCCTGCATGAGACCATACGCAGGACTTCTTTCCTCTGACTCACGTATTAACTACAGCTATAGGACTTGGTGAACCAGTGGGTTGACCTAGGTAGGAAGTCCTAAATTCCTACGTAAATCAAAGGAAAGAAAATGCACAAAGCAGTTAAACAGGGTTTGGAAAGACCGCCTGGTGTTTACTCTGCTGTCACGCTGACCAAATTGGTCAAGGAGCCTTTCCTCCAAGTCCCATGGCATGGGTTTTTCAGACCTAACCAGGAAGTTAAGTGACATACCCGTATCAAAACAGACAGTTCAAGATTGACCTCTCTGCTGCCTTAAAGCCTCTATGCAGTTTTTTTTTATAAGCCAGTATATTTGAATAGCACACGAATAACAAAATGGAAAAAGAGAAGAAAGCCAAGAGGTAGCAAGTCATCATACTTACATAACTGTATTGTCATCGACTAAGATATCACAGCCGTGAGCAGGGCATGAAATGGTCTGACAAAAACAAAAAGGTCATAAAAGGAACAGTGTTTATCCTATTTTTGCATCACAAAGAATTGCAAGGCAACAGACTTCACTACAGTCCATTGCAAAAATAGTACATTGGCTCTATCATCACATCCCAGATGTGCCACTGTGCACAGCACAATTCCTCCCACCCAGCGCAGATGCCTGCACTAACTCCAAGTAGTTCCCTTCAGCTTCACCCCTGGCAAAGGCTGCAGCCCACAAAGCTTTGGGGCTTAGGTTTTCTTTGTTGTTATTTTGTTTGGGGTTTTTTTTAAGCTTTAGCAAGGAAGAATTCTCCCCTTTCTTTCCCCCTCCTCTCCAATACACAGTATTTTCCAGAAATAAGTCACGAGGTAGACTGATGTGACATTTTACCTGTCCCATGCCTTCCTCCATTATTTTGGTAGTTAAATATTCACTCCAGCACTGCATACAGAACTTGTGTCCACACTCTAGGCCAGTAAAGTACTGCAATGACAAAGAACACAAGACATGGGATTGTTTTAATCACATGGATTCACTCAGTCATTTCACCCTTCTTGGTGCTGTGCAGTTTATCACATCCCTCGTCCCCCACACCAAACTTGAGACACTACTATTTATTTTGCATCATCACCACTACAGAACACTGCCAATGCAGCTTTAGTCATCCTTTCAAAGCCAGACTTTAATCCCCAACCCTAGCAGTGAGGAAAGGTGTGGCTGACTTTTCCATCCTGCCCGCCCATTTAAATCAATCCTTGTTTTAGGAGTATACGCAGAGCAAAGCATGGCTTTCCACTGTTTTGCTCTTGCAAATGAGTAAAATAAATGCAACACCACCAAACAGGTCATAGTTATAAGACGACACGGAGTCTTCTTTCCTCTTGTTTTTTCCACTTGGCTTGCTATCGCATGTGGGTGCTGCCCAGAAGCCCCAGAATATGCACACCAGCTATGCATGGGCACTAATTTAGCTCCCTCTTGTATAGGAAACAGTAAGTGATCAGCGAGCAGTCTGCATTACTGGGTGAGCGCTAAACAACAGAAATAGAATTGTGTGCGCTTATGCTTTTAACACATGGGCATAAAGTTTGCCAACTTACTCAGTAAACTTCCCTCTAAAACCCAGATGCTCATCAGATGAAGACACTAAAGATCTTAACTGGCAGGTGTAAATTACTAAATGCAATTCAATAATGATTAGCTGTTGCAGACAGCAACAAGGACAACTTCATCTGTGCATGCATCATCTACACAGAGAATGTCGAGATACCATCTGGGATTGAACGGTTACACAAGGGGTGGAGGAGCAAACACTGCTGAGGAAAGACTGAAATTAAGTTACTTTTCTCCGGTCATCTTAAAGTTATTAACACGCAGAGCCAGGGGCAAGGACAAACTATATTTAAAACAGTTCCCTCATACCACTATGCAAGTTACTGTTTTACTTTTCAAACCATCTTGTTCTCAGCCAGTAAGATAAAATAAGAGCTCCACCCTGAGATACCACCAACTTGTACGAAACTCCACAAATGAGAGAAACCTGGTATCCTCCGCAGAACAGCCCAAAGCAGCAGCAGGTTGCTGGGAATTAAGAAGAGGAGCAAGTCCATTTAAGAGAATAACATTCTTCCCAAACTGCCTCCTTGACCATTACAGACTCAAGGTTACGGCCACCACATCGCCCATTTTGTTCATCCAACACTGGCATATTAGCTAGGCTACACTCATCATTCGACGATATAGCACTCTGATCGCACAGGGAAGGTGCTTGTTGGCATGTTCTTCCCACAGCCTCGCCATTTTGTGATTCATGCTCGTCTGGCACTCCTGCCATCAATGGAAGCACAGGTTTGAACTTGAGGCTTGGAAACGTGCTGCGATGCTGCAGCCAGCGGGCTCGACTGCCTGCCGTTCCCACAGCCCTGCCAGAGAACACTTACCAGGAGCAGCAGGGTAGTTAAATCTGACCAGATCGGTCAACTGGAAGCAAGCTGAGCATCTGGCTTCATTCCAGGTAAAAAGAGATACCCACCCAAATCAGAGCAGTATGTCCTGCCAGCACCATGGCTCAAGGAAAGAGGAGGCTGGCAGCTACAAGTGCCCAAGTACATCAACCCCAAGAATAAAAAAATTTAAAAAAAAAAAACAAAACAAACACCAAAAAAACCCCCAAAACAACAACACCGCCACCACCCACAAACCCATCCAGTGTTTGAACCACAACTGAGCCAGCTAACAAGGTATCTGATGCTCCACAGATGCTGCTGTAGCCAAGTGACGTCCCCTGGAGATGCAGGGTTACAACACAAAAGCCCCAACATCTATAACTTTCATAACACCAACAAGCACATAGCCTGAAGACAGCACTGACTTCTCCACATGTGATGGGAAATAAGCATGGAGCAAGGGGATCATCCCTTAACGAACCTAAATACTCCTACAGCAAGCACACACCGGGAGGCACTACAGAACACAGGTAAGTGCGTATCTTCATTTAAGACTCCCTTCAGTTACTTCAGGCAGAGAGAAGATTTGCTAAAGGCCCACATAAAAAGCAGCCGCCACACTTCCTCCCAGGCTCCAAAGAATTCAGAGTATCTTTCAACTCATTTCTTTACTTTGAGGGAGTTCCCAATTATTTTTGGCTAAGCTGACAGCAGATGTCAAGGGAGCAAGCAAAAAGGCCAACATAAAACCACCAAGCATAAAGGGCAACTGACTTCTGAAACAGCACGTTTCCACAGGAGACAGCTCTACTTTCACCCTATCTACACTGATCTCCTACTTTTCTTGTGACACCAAGTGCTACCAGCAGCGTGCTGCCATTCGACACCTGCGTCCCTGCTCTTTTGGTAGCATCAAACCGACCCAAGAAGGCATCAGCTGCCCCAAGATGCATTTACCATGACATCCTCATTCTTTCTTTACTTTGTTGGTGCTATCATCACAACTGGACTAAGTCATCTGTGTCCTGAGAACAAACACACAGTTTGGACAACAGCATGATGTTCCCCAAACACCCCCACCCCGGCAGCCTTCCTCTCAAGTGGGGACCTGAAGGCCAAGATGCAAGAGAGGAGGTGGGCAAAGCCAAAATCCTCTCAAGTCTTGTCTTCACCCATAAGGGTTTTGCCCACAATAACCACTGGGACTCGAGACAACTTCGTGGGGACCCAGAGGGACTAAGATATCTCCCTCAAGTTTTCAAACCATCAGGGTGCAGGCTGCCATGAGAGCATCAAATGCCTCGTTTTGCAGATGACTGAAGAGCTATAAAGACTTGGTATTTCCCTTACATGTGCTTTAAAAGGCAGACAAATACCACCTGCAGTGACCCCACGAGAGAGTGAATATTCAAGACTCTTACATTCCTGTAGTAGCTGTACACTGTAAAATTTCTTAACAGGTGCTACTCCAAACTCCCAGCTTTCTATTGGCTGAAAAAGGCTCTCAGGAAAAAATACAGCTTTTTCTGGGAGGGAAAAAAAATAAATAAAAGCTGACCATTGTAAGAGGATTTAAAAGCTGAGATTTTAGGTTAAGTATTGAACATAAGTTATCCTAGAATTTATAATTCACACTCATCAAAACAGCCTGCAAACAGGTTTTAAACCACATGCCTTACCTTAGACACAGAGACACTGCAGCCTTTCAAGGAAGAAGTAACAAATACTAGTTTTCCTCCATGCTCCAGCTTTGGGGTATGGCAAGGCAACAGAGAGGTTCCCCTCTCTAACAATTTAGAGATGCCTCTACTCACTTGCAACATAACTGGGGACACTACTACTACTACTTGTAACATGCTATTTGAACTACAAAAATAAGACTCATTAGCGTGCTTTGTGCAGTTCTTTCCAATAGCCAGAAAGCTGCTTCCCAGGCAGCAGAAGTACCCCCAGCCAGAGGAAAGGCCTCTCACTTGTGAGCACTGGGCATTATTGTTCACACTCCCCCCGGCACAGCAACTACTTTAAAAAGAAGAACAAGGTATTAAGAACACAAAACCTGAAGCTGAAGTTTCCAAGAGGACTTTTTCTGGAGATAAAATCAAAATTATTTCCTTACTACCCAATGTGGAAAGCCTGCAATGATTAAACAGTGGGAGTTTAGCATAAGGTAGAAGGCTAGACACATTTCTCAAGCTTGTCTTTCTTTTTCAAAGCACCTCTTTGTACAAAGCAAGCAATGATTCTTAGCAGCTATTCTCTAAAAAGGAAGTCCGTGCATGAGTCTTAAAAGGAGATGAACAAAGCCTTGTGGTTACTGGCTCAAGAGCAATGGTGATCTTAACACTGAGAATCTCAGCCACCTGAAACTGAGCTTTGCTCTGCCCACTCCAGAGCAAGGAAAAGGCTTGCAGTCAGGCTACAGCAGCAAGGGTACTTTATTCGAGGCTACTCATAAACCCCCAAGCTCATACTGGTTTCCATTCTTGCTGAAAAGTAAGCTCATAAAACACACCCAAAGCAAGAGTGGAAGCCTTATGTAAGGGCTGTTCTGCTCTTTAAAGGTCACGCAGATGCTACAGTGCTTTGGAGGGGTCAGGACAGCTCCACCAGGAACCTTAAGTCCCATTAAAGGAAGAATTCCTCATGTATGTCAGCACCCTGCTTTTGGCAAAGCAACGGATGGACTCTCCTACTTGAGCTTTTCCCACTAATTCTGTTTTCTTCCAGGCTCTCCCATCATTACGTCCTGCCCCTGGAAAGTCACAGCAAGTTGCTCACCTGTACAAAACACAGCAGAAGTCTGGACCTCTACTTAGTGTATCAGTAAGTTTTGTATTTGTGAATAGTTCCAAAAAAATAAAAGTATCATCACCAATCTTACCACAAACCAGAAGACTAATTTAGAGCCCCAGCAAGCACTTCTATCCTAATCTTCTCCCATTAAGAAGGTATTGCACAAACGTGATAAAGAACCAAAGATATCCACATGGGTTGCATTCTCTAAACAGCACAATTTTATTTTACTTCTACTCAGTTTTATTCCAGGCTTTCTAGCTTGACTATTTTGCATCATTATTTACTACTTTTATAAGCTGTTTCCTGTTTTGTCATTCTGTTTAAGTAAATCCCACTGCCCATCATGCTTTCCACGTATTTTTTCTTTCAAGCATCATTTATTTGCACGTCCCCTTTGTAAAAAATCACTTAATCTATAATGCTTGCTTTTTTCTGAAGAACTTTACTATGCTGCTGCCCAGACCCCAGCACCCTTAAAGATTTTTGCAGAAGGGATAACCACTTCATTTGAAATACAATCCCATTTTGGGTAAACTAATACTGTCTGAGGGTTGTTAAAAAAAAAAAAAAAGTTTGTCAAACCACACAGTAAGAATTAAACAGAACACATAAAGCACTATGTAATTCTGTGGTCCCCCACTGCATTCCCTGGATCAGCTGCAACACACAGGACAAGGTTTATTGCATTAAGAAACAATCTTGGACACCATTTTTTAATGTATATTCTACAGATTAGAAGATTCAATGAAAAAAGTGAAATCTTGGTCCCAGTTCAAAGGCTTTTTAAAATACTGTTGGAAAAGTCCTTACAGGCTTCTACTTAAAATGTTGTGCTGCAGATAACAAAGTTGGGAGAGTTACTGGTCAGATACCACCCTGGCGGCCAGGTACTCACCGAGTTTGGGTAGTTCAGGTAGCAGATCTGACAAGGCATATCCTGGGCTGATGACCTTGTGTTCATCTGGCGCGTCCGAGACTTTTTACTTGGATTAATTACATGACACTCTGCAAAGAGCTTCTCCAAGTTGCCATCAAAGTACCTGCATAACACACACAGGAAAAATGAAAATTTAACTGCCCTCCCTGTAAGTAATTTTTTCAATTTCTACTTAGGAGTTAAACGTACAAAGTTGGGTTTGATACTTCAAAACACTCACACACCCACTACTTTTAGCAAAGTCTTCACTACTATAACTCAACACGGCCCTGACCACAGAGGTGGGTATTAGACACCAGTTCAGAGATTTGGGCTTGAATTGAAAATTCAAGTACCTTCAATTCTTCAGCTGCATTTCAAGTGATTCATGATTCTCCACAGCTATTTCTTTGTATTAAAGCTCCAGGACAGGAAACTGAAGCAAGAATGTCTTACTTCTCAGTCCAGACACCGGGACACTTTTCTGAAGCACAGATTTGACACCCCCAGGTTCAATTCCATTTTCAACCTAAGCCTTCCATTTTTCCCTAACATTGTAGTCACTAAAACATTAAAGAGGAGGCAGGAAACAGAAATCAGTCACAGCTCGTGATTCAGCAGGTCCCTAGTTCCTGTACTTCGCGTTTTCCTCTGTGTACTCAGTCTACATTAAGAGTGCCCCAAAGAGATCCTGACTTCAATTTTGGCGCTTCCTACTCTCATCTAAGGAGAAATGCGTCAGCAGAGTCAGACACTGGGTTCAGCTGATGGAACACTTACACATGGTCATCGATCTGCAATTAAGGCAACTGCAGGACTGTGTTTCACATGCTCCAGGCATGGCCAGAGTTTGGGAACAACTGCTGCCAGATCAGGACTCTGATCTCCAGTTAGTCTTCAATTTTTCACTGAACACCTTGCCCACGTCCAAAGCCTCCACAGTCCATCCCTCGGGCCAAAATACTAGCCATTTGGGTATCTTTTGTCTCCAGTCAACCTGAGATATTTTAACAACCTCATAAAAAAATACAATTCCAGGTTTACAATGCTTCCGAAGACTAGATATCTCATGGAAAGGAGGATGTAAAAGTGGCTGGGGGGAGATGAAAGACCACTTTCTTTCTATTTCCAGTTCCCTTAATGAAAAAAAAAAAACTGCTTTGGTTTCAGTCTTCCAGAAAGCTTTTCAACTTGGTGAGGAGGACCAGTTTTGAAAGAACCACAAGTAGGCAGATCAGCCTCTTCCCAGTATCAAGACGCCACAGATCTTTCTCCAGCCTGCAGCAGCTGCAAAGCACTAATTAAATCTGGCAATTAACAAGCCAACCCTACCTGCAGGTACATCCCCCACTCAATGCCAGTAAACAAGCATTTGCCTCCCACCCCATGATCATCAAGGTTAATCCAAATAAGATGGCACCTACCTAGGAAAAAAAACCCCACATTTGACCATAATGCAGCCATTTACACTCAAGACCAGCAAATTTACTCCCAGGAGACAACCGGCCCTGTAGCTCAGGACGCAGGCATGGCTGAAGTTAGACTCTTTTGTTAAGCTTGTCACAAAACAGACCAAAATAATCTGCTTTCCACCAACAGACAGAAGAGAACCAAGACTTTCTGCTGGGGAAAGAAGTTAGCAGGTGCGTCTCAAAAATGTGGGATGAGGCCTGTTATACAACATCTACCCAAAACACCGCTGGCTAGATGGTCCTAATCTGGCAGTATTCCCAAAAAGTCCCAAATCCATAGCAGCGCTCTTACAGCACTACCTACCAACAAGAGTTAAAGAGTTAAAAAGGGTTAATTTCACTGCTGGTTCATCTGTTTCTTGATGCAGATCACATACTTTAAATCTTCATTTTCAAAACACTGAATTTTGAAGATAGTGGTGAATTCCAGCACTGCAGCACACACAAGTGTCACTGTTCTTCAGTGTTAGCTCAGGGATTTAACTCAACCAAGTTATTTTGTTTGCCTTTGAGATTACTTATATTTAGAAAAATTTAGCAAGTGAATTCAGTGCAGCCCCATCATAGGCAGTATTTGTTTATTAAAGAGTCATTGATAATATTTACTTATATTAACTCCACAAAAGGTTTCCAGCCTTCAAATTGTTCTTACGTGCAACACGATCAGTGTAGGACATCCTCCGTTTGAAAAGAGCAGACCAACAGTTGGGTGTGATGTTTGCCAAGAAAATAGAATTGAAGACAAATGCTATGATGCAACTTAATACTGGCATTCGTGGTCAGCTAAATGCTTATGGAAATACCAGAGATATTTGGAATGGTGGGCTGGATTTAAGGGTGCATAGCCACATCAGGAACTGAACTTTACCACTTGCACCAGGCAGTTCTATTTTTACAAAATCTCTGCAAAAACTTCTCTGAGCCACGATACCTACTGCCCCACACCAAGAAATATGGACAGAAAAGTCTTCCAGCAACTGCTTTTCACCTGCAATTACCTACCCCCTCTAAACACCAACAGGTAACTAATATCAACCATTTCCTTCCTGGGCTTTCAGTAGTTTCCCAGTTAACAGACAAAAAAGAAAAAAAGTTATGTGACATGGTGTGTTTCTTCGGACTAAAGGCTAGTGAGAAAGGTAACTCACATAAGATGCACAGATTGGAGTCCTTACCAATTTAAACATTTCCAAAGCACCACTACACTGCAAAGCATGCAAGTGCTTACATTTTGGTCCAAGAACCAAGGCTCTCATTAAATGGTTTCCATCTCAGAAGTGCCTGGTCTCTCCTACACTTACATGGGAGAAGCAAATGAGGCAGCTGAGAGACTCAGCCAGGGCCACGCAGAAGAGGGAGAAAACATAAATCTAAGAAAAAAGACTGAGGTTTGTCTTTAACTCTGCTGTACTCAATTCTTACAGTATTTGCTCTGCTCCTTGGGATTGCCGCTTGTAAACCTCACTAGTGTTGGAGAGAAACAGGGCATCAGGTATTCCTCTTTCTCCATGCTGGGCCCACAAGCTGTTTTCTTTCAATGCGTGTACTTTCTTTGCTGTGCCGGGATGTGCTGAGCAAGTCATTTCCACAATCATGTGCATATGTGTGCGTCAGACTTAAAATCATGCTGTCACTGGGCAGTAAGGAAATAAGAACTCCAGAAACTGCAGGAGAAAACCTGGATCTCCCTGAAAACACAGTTGCAATGGGTACTCCATGCATGTTGGAGCAAAGTCCAACAGCTCTCTAACTGCTCCACCACTCCTTACGCAAACACACCGAGGGCCCAGCCAAAAGGCTGTTCCAATTCCTTCCCTGGTTAGGAACGACCCGTAATTCCTATTACCACACCTTTTTCTGCTTGTTCCAAGCATCAGCACAGACTGTCCGTCCAAGCAGCTCTCCCGTTGCCCTTCCCGTGTTCTTCCATTGAAGGATTCACCGGCAGCAGCTCTAACAGCCTTTCTTAACACAGCAGACAAGCTTCCTGCATGATGTCTCTACTCCTCTGCCCCAGCAAGCATTCTCAACCACCAGTTTCCATTTCCACTCATCCTTCCTTGAACCCAAGGAGGCCAAAACAAATGCAGTCCCAGTTAAGATTCCACCACAATCTCATATTATTTCACCTACAGGTATCTCAACACATCTTAAGGGATGCGTTTCTCCAGAGCTCCTTCATCTTAGCAGCTCCATTTTCATCTCTGCTAGAAAGCCCACATTCTTTTCCATCTCTCTGTTGGTGAGACCCTATTGCGACACTTTGTACCACTTCCATCGCAAGGGTCCTCCCAGCTGCCTGAGTTTTCCCCCTGTATGGTGTCTGGATCCTTCTCTGAACCAAATGCTTCCAAACAGGTATGTGCCAAGTCAATCATTAACACCAACAAACATTCATCCCAAAATTAACCAATAAGGGACTTACTAATAGGTTCCAGAGTCTGCTACCTCCCTTTTGAGCAAAGTAACTCCGTACACACCATACTAACAGCCAAACCTAATGACTGCCCTGTATTTTATATCATATAGTTGCATGCCATCATCTCTGCTGTGAAGTGTGGAAGGAAATTCCCTCCTCACTTCCTTCACAACTCCAGGGTTTTTCATTTTTCCTCAAGCCATCCCTCAAGTTCTCACTATTAAAGGATTGCTTCTTGGTAGTTCGGTAGCTTATTTTCATCTTAGGGAGAAGCACAGCACCTGCAACAGACTTTTAAATCCTTTATCCTCTTCTGCCTTTGCAATGCAGATATCCAGTAATTCTAGCACTTCGATAAGAAATGTTATGGTCTATTCAGCATTAGACTCTTTGCTCCATACAGCTGACTTCAACAACTGTTTCTATCAGTTTTTCAAAATACATTCTCTTCATCACAGACCAAGTTGTTGTCTCCACTACTTTAAAATGAATAGACACACCAGTGAATCATTTTCAAGTTCTTCTGTAATTTCTTCACTGCTTACCAACACCAAGCCCATAAAATTGTATCAAGTCTTTTTGGCAGAGGGATCAAGCCGTCAGCTTCTTTATTTCCTCAAAATTTTCTCCTGCTGTTGGTAACTGCCTAATCACAATTTTCTAGGCATAATCAAATCCAAAGAGCATTTGTGAATGTCAGAGAATCAGTATGCTCGCAGTAAAAGATACCTTCATAGCAAAACGCCTGCCATACACAATTTTTCACTTGTTCAGCCTCTGCTAAATAGTGTTAAGTACTTATTTGCCCAAAGGAAAGCAGACGGCCAGGTACCTGCAAAGAGGATTTCAGTCCCCTGAATGCAAGGGGAAGAGGTGATCTGGGCTAGCAGCCAAGCCACCAGATCGCCCTGGCATCTGTCCTCTGCTCAGAGGGTGTCCGTGTGTCCGCCTTCCAAGATAAGCACCTATGAGGGTCTGCAATACCTCTCTCTATACCTCCCGGGATTAAACTGGGCCGCTGGTTACATGCAGAATTACTTTTCTTAGAAAAGAACAAAAAAAATGACTGGGGAAGGCACATGAAGCGAGAGAGCTGCATTTTAGTCTCTTCATCACGAGGAGGTTCATCCGCAAAACTCCCCTCAGGAGGGACAGATGCTATCAGCCATGGTAAAACTGGAAGGTAATCGAGATAAAGTTACAACCCAAAGCACTTCCTTCACTTCTTTCTGAGGCTGCCTGGTCAATCCGTGCCTGCTAGTCTCCTGTCTCTATTAACCAAGCTCATGAGACAGAGGAAAACATAATATTTAACAGCTTTATTCTCCAAAACACATGCAGCACATCAGAAGCTGAACTTGAGTACTTCTTCCAGTACCCACTTCCATCCTACAAACAAATCCACCCCAAAACACCGATTTTGCTTTTGGGCACAGTCAAATAATTAGTGCTTCACCAGTGGACAGGGCAGTTTTTCAATTGTGGCTATTACTTCATTGTAAGTGGAATAAATACCTGGAATATATCTGCTCTCTTAATAACGCCATGCAATTACTCCATGACAAAGCTGACAAAGACAATAATAACCCACTTATTAAAAATACGCATAACAATAGAAAGAAGTGATGAAGAGGTTTTCATGTTTTAAAACATAGAAATTTTCATCTCACGAGCTCAGACCTCAAACTCACCACTTATCAAAAGAGAAGCCACTTTGTTTATCTGCTTTACTACAGGCAAAGTTTGATAAGGCTGCCTGTTAGGTCATGCTGACTCACAATGAACTAAGGTAAAACAGACACGGGCTAGGTACTGTAAATATATGCCATTAAGTAACTGAGTTCAAGCTCTGACTTGGTGTGAAATCGAGCACCAAAAATTGCACCCAAACATTACATCTTAGTAAGCATTAAACCCACTCAGACTGCAGGCAGCAACAGGAATTTTCTGGTTATTAGCAGTAAAAAAGGCCAAATTTATACCAAAAAAAAAAAAATATATATATATATATATATGTCTCCCAACACCGTTTCAGAACATGGATTCACTTGGTGTAGAAGAATATTGTGTGCAAGCGCTTTTACTTGGCACCCATGAAAAGTGCAACAGCAGCAGTTACCTGCTGGCTGCCCAGCACGAGCTGATGCTCCGGGGTCACTGTGTGCACACAAGTTCAGCCATTAGTGAGCCGGAGATGTCAGGCACAAGACTTTTTTTGGGTCAGATGCTAAAGACAGTGAATGTATAGTGTTACTTTCAAGTAAAAAGTAAGTTTTGAGGGGATTTCTCCCTTAAAAAAAAAAACAAACTAGTGTTTGAATTTATTTTTTCGCCCGATGAGAGCATGCCTCTCTACCTCACCATGAATGCTTCCCAGCGTTTTTCAGCTTGTTTACACTAGCACAATACTGCAATAAGATTTGCTGGACACACACAAAACCAAACAAGTCTCAAAAGTGATCTCTGTTTTGGAAGACTTGACCAAGTCTAAATTTGGGCTTAATCAGCTTGTCATGTTCGTTTGAATGAGAACCACCTCTGTTTTAGCAAAAAGATATGATCTGTAGCTAGTTCATGGCATCATTTCCAGCTCCATCACTATTTCAAACCGATTCTTTTGCATCCTGGCTACTGCAGTGACCACCTGCCTCCCACCCTTGCCTATTACCTATTACCACAGCAATCGCAAAATCTTCTTGAACACCAAGATCCAGCTCTCAGCCTCTTCCTTCAGAGGAACGTGGCAAAGGGTTCTGTAGAAGCTATTTGGTGAAAAAAATGACAGAAAGCAGCACCAGATACTTGAGAGAAAAAGGTTTTCATGTTTTTCTAACACAACAGGACATCAGCACCAAAACCTTGACTCATGTGCAATAGGTTTGCATAAGCAAGGGTCACGTATTACATTACTCAGAGGGGTAATGCTATAGAATTAAGATAAGTATTTTAATGAATACGTACCAAGGGTAAATGTTTACCTGTGGACTTGGTAAATATTTACGCATACCTAAAAGCATTTTGGTTGGAAACTGTAAAAGTCTTAACAATAATACCTCACTTAGAAGTGGCTGACATCCCCCTTTGGAAAAAACCCACAGCCTAATTTTTTTTTTTTTTTTTTTAATTCACAGCAGCCTTAACAACCAAGTTTTCAGTGGGAAGGGAAAAAAAACCTTATTGAATATCGGATGTCATTTCAGTACACTTATGTCGAGGTAGCTCAAAGTGAGATGGAGATAGCCAAGGAGCGTGAACTTTGGCCTGACCAAAAGAATCAGCACAAGAAAAATCAAATACAAAAAGAAGTGAACAGACACACATTATAGAGAAGGAACTAAATCAGAATGCTTAACAGCTGTAGTCAGAATTAAATAGCCTCAGTGTGACTATATTTGTAACACAAAGCTTCCATACTTCCAGCATTAACTAAAAGAGGTCTATCTCAGGAAAGAAAACAAAGACTAAAAAACTTTAAAATATACAATCACTTAAAAAAAAGAATCTAGGCCAAACAAAACATAAAAGAGATACCTGAGCACCATCACTAACTGGAAGTGTTACACAAAGGGGGCTAAATGTGTCCTAAATCCATTATCCCAGAAGTGTGGAAATGTTTGAACTCCAAAACTACCTACTAGCCGACTGAAAATCCATTGCTCTCCCACCCTTGCAGCCTGCATGAAAGAGCACCAAACTACACAGGCTCAGCCCACAGCACAGAGCACCTGCAGGCTGTTAACTGGTATTTATCAATTCAACAGTACCACCACCAATTGTTTCTGCACATGTTTTTACAGACTACAAAGCATCCTATCTCCTCATACCCTCATCATCAGGCAAAGGAAATGGTAATCAAGAGAAGACCAAAACCAATCCTACCAGGCAGAGAGTCCTTCTGTCCTCACCCCCAACCCACCCACTTCTGTCTCTTAGTAGTTGTTAAGACCAGCAAAGACCATTAACAACCAGTAAGCCCCTGTACTGCCTTTACACTGTGTCTGGTCCAGACTCATTCTCCCCCCAGCTTCCAGAAGTAAACTGAATTCGCCAGCTCCCTCACACTCTCTTCAGCAACAACACTGGCATTGGGGGGAAAAAAAGAAAGTGCATTACCACTGTAGCTGGATTTGACCTCCATGGTATAATAACAAACTATAAAAAGTACCTTTACCGGCAACATTCCCCAAGAGCTGGGAATCAAAGATGAAAAGTAACCATAAAATGCTCTGCTATGAGGGGGAGGGAGAGGCAAAATTCAAGCGGTTATTTACGCACATACTAAAGAAAACCTGGAGCTGCAAAGATGAAGACGAGGCAGATGCACTTTACCAGTCCCCCTGTATCAGGCAAGAACAATTTAGTCTCAGCAAGACTGACTTAAAATAAACGTGTCAGGAATACGCGTGCTAGAATGACATGCAAGAGCAACTAAATCCAAATCTGAAACAGTTGCAAGGTAACAGAAGCCTGTTCCTGCTTGCTTTCTTCCAGAGCATGCAAAAATCCTGTGCCCGTATGTGTTGGAAAGCACCCCTTCCTCTGAGGGGCATCCAACTTCCAAAACTTCCCTTAAGTCGAATACGTATTAATAATATTAAAACAAGGAGTCACTCTTAGCTGGTAAAGGCTGCTAAAGGGGGCACATTTACAGCTTACACAAGAGATCCTCCCGCCACACACTGTGCATTCATCCATTCCCACATTAATCCGATAATAAACTTTTCTTGCTGGTCTGAAGCAAAATGTGGCTGCATGCTAGGACAGCTGCTTACCTCTCCATCAGCTTCTCTTTATCCCAGTTGAAATGGCTAAGGAGTATTCGAGTAATAGTTGCTGGATTCTAGAGAAAGAAAAGAAAAATAATAAATAATTGAGTAACTGCTCGATCAAGTCGTATACTGTTATGAGAACAGCAAGCAGAGTTTTAAATAAACGAGTGGGGAAATCAGGGTGTCTGGTAACATACTCTGTGCAGACAATACATGTTAACTAACACAATCGGGAAAACAGTTTGACTTGACAGAAAAAAATTTTAAAAACCCACTCTGTAAAGTGAAACACCTACATAAAATAAGAACACTGTTGAAGACTTCAGGAACAGGTTAGTTACTGCTACCACAACAGACGCCAAGTGCCACCACCTCCATGTCCAGCATGCTTACACAACGTAAACCCAGGGTGTTTGTAAAACACAGGAAGGGCTAATTGCCATCCATCCTATCCCTTTTTGCCACAAGCTCCACAGTATTTGCAGAACAAAAATATTCCTTGTTTGTCCCAGGCCCAACCACCAAAACTTGGGTTGAAAACTCTCCCAGAAAGTAAGCGGGTGCCAGTGTAAGATGACGACAACCTTTGAAATCTCCAGGTGTTTCCAAAGCACCCTAAGATTCAGAAGATACTTTGCAATTATACAGCTAAGGAAAGAGATACAGCCTAGGAAGGTCAGAAATAGGATGGGAAATAAAAGCTGGTTTTCACTTGTACCCAAGTTTTTCTTCCAACTAACTCTATATCATCAGCCAAGAGTTTGGTTATATGAGCCGAGAAACGTAACAAACCATACGGCTTCTGTTACACCCCAGAACCAGGCTTTAGCTCCCTAAACCCAAACTCTCTGGGCTTGGTTTTAGGACCATTTACATGCAACAGAGGCAACAGCGAGTGCCCTGAGAGTGGCTGGGCTGCATGTACTTTGCCATTTGACACCAAAATGGAAGTTTGCCTTAGGGCAAATTTTCAATGGACACACTGAAGCTGCGGAAAAGTAGGACACGAACTAGCAATGTGATTTTCTGAGCCCGCAGGCTTTAGCTACAACTTGAAGCTGCCAAAAGCCAATGCTGCCACCCAAAGCAGCGATCCCTTTCCATCCTTACCCTCAGCCACCCGCTTGCATGTCCTGCACTAACCAATCCATACCAGTACAGCCATCTTAATGTTGCAACATTGCAAATTACAGGCTTGGGAATGGATCTTTTCTCCCTCTTTTTCTTTTGTTTTTTCACCAAATCAGTTCCCCTATCTGCTTGATTGCCTGGCCACACAAACAGCTGAGCAGCATCTTTCAGCAGGGACACCAAAAAAACGCTCGCTGAAATGAAGCCCAACGGTCAAAATGTAAGCACAGAGAACTGGTCTTGTGGCTTATACTATAAAAAGCGACACTCCTCTCCCTCTGCAGTGTGTTCTTACTCTTCCTATTAATGCCAGCAGAGCTTGTTTAAGGCCAAATTAAGAAATTTTTCTAGCTTAAAACGCCCATGTGAACAAAAGCAGCTTTACAAAGGTTAGACCTGATCCAGTCCATGTGGAGCCCCATAAATAGGTGGGATGGCAAATCTGCTACACAGTATGGGGCAGAAAAACCAGAAAAGGCTATTGCCAAATACTCTGTATTGTGAAAATGCAGGCCCAGTCCATCTTTGAACAAGTCTCCCAGGCGATACAGATCCAAGCTCCTAACTGTAACAACACGACGAGGTGCTTGGCTGGCAACCACGTGCCACTGTGCATTACGGAACAGCGAGGCAGCACCCCAACCTTCAGCACCCTGGCAGAAGTCAGGGTAGCAGCGCTGCAGCCACCTGGTAGGGAGGCGATCCCACTTTCGGGCAGGTTTACCCATTTCCTCGCATCGAAAGCAGCAATGGTGCAGCTCCAGGACAAGCTGGACTTGCTCGCTGCTCCAATGGAGTTATTTTCCCTTCTCTTTGCAGCTCTCAGCCAAAGCAGCAAGCTGATACACCTCGCTGTGCAAACACAATGCGGATACACCAAGTATCCTGAGGCAAGGGCGAGAGGCTCTTTAGGCAACAGGATAGTCTTTGCATGTTTTGTACCTCCTAGGAGCTGCATCTTCATCTTTCGCTCTGGCAGCAAGGCTGACAAGTGCTCTGCCTGGCCAACACTGCTTAAGCTGCTGCAGCCATGCAGGAATCACGCTAAACAAGTATGGAACCCCATTTAAAATAAGAAGAACCAAGAAAAAGCTTTCTGATGGCATCAATCCCTGATCCAGCCCAGCGCGCAGCAGCACAAAGCCTGTCCCAGCACTGCAGACAGAGGGGAGCAAGCGGTTGAACTGTTTCAAGTCAGTCCTGCCAACAACAAGCTGTATGGGAATTTAAGGGTCTCCTTCACCAAAAATACTCCAGCTTCAGGGAGGAGGACTACAGCCTCTTTCAGGGCTTTAGGTTTTGATCTCTCGAGGTTACTTCTTATCTAAGTCCCCAAAATATTTTTCTGTAATACTATCTGCATTATGTATCTAAAGGAGCTCTTAACAGCTCACTTAAACACACACGCGTCCTAGAGCAACTTAATCAAAGACAAAAATATACTTTAGTAAACAAATTGATCTTGTCTCTAGATTATCTTGGTTATGATACCAGCTCCTATAGTCAGTGCGACTTCTATTTTTAAAAATATTTCCGTAGTCTAGGACAAGTCTTGCCTCAAACCGGGAAATCTCCTGCTAAACACAGCAGGCAGACAGGGTGTATAGGTTTCTCCATGTAATCCTTCCAGCACTCACATCTATAAAGCACATTCCTTGAGCCCCTCACCCCTGCCACGCTCCAGAGTTACAAACCAGTTTCTGACAGTAAAGCATGCAGCTCTTCTCAAGCACACGGATTCTTCACTCAGCCCAGAGATCTGTACAAAGAAACAACTACTTTCTGAATTTCTCAAGCAACAGCATCAGGAGTTCTTCAAATTAGCCTAAAGCCTTGTCCTACCTTCTGCTCCAGCAGCCTACTTGGCCACTGTATTAAGGCTTCTGGGAATACCTATTAATCACTTAGTAGGCTAAGACACAACTGAGGTAGTGGTCTCTGGCTGACTTTTCTTTTGAAAGACGACAGACAGGTTCCCCCTGCATAAGGAACTGAAGTGGTCTGCAGTGATTCTCAAGTGCAACAAGGCAAACCCAGCCAACACCACTCACCAAACGAGACATGGTTGCGAAGAACAGGAGGGTCCCATTTTGTTTGTGGCTCCTCCATTTTCCCAATGAAGTGGCACTGCAGTTTTCCAAGACACTTTTCCCCAGATCAGGCCCTCCCAGGTATCCCAGTATCACAAAAAGAAAGCTGTTTTCCCACTGTGCAGTTTGCACAACGGCACGTTATTTTAGGATTACACTCCAGAGACTAGCACTGTTGGCTCAGAGGTATTGTAACACAAAATATGGTGTAAGGAGTAGCTTTTCCTGGCTGGTTGGGATTTAGCTTCCTCTAGCTACAGCAGTATTTGTTCAACATGTTAATTTAAAAAAAAATGGAACACCAGCAGCACAACAAGCTCCTACCAGAAACATCTGGGCTGCCTGCATTCTCCTCTTGCCACATCCAAGATCTAGTATTTAAAACTTAACCAGTTGTTACAGTGATGCAGAAGACAAGGGTGACTACAACTGTGCCCTTCCTCGTACACAGTGTGGACAGCCACACAACCTGAGCTTGCATTACACAGGGAGGACTGAAGACAGGGAGGGAGGCAGTGCTAAGAGGCTTGGTTTGCATAATGTAAACCACGGTTAAATACAAATGCAAAAACCTCTGGCATTAAGGACTGTTCTAATTTTAGGCAAGGCACACCACCAAGGTACCAGGTAGCAGCTGCTCCGCATTAATTGCTTGCATGCACTTCCCTCACAATTATTTAGGAGATCTGGAGGAGTAAATCATTGCATCTCTGACAATGAGAGGTAACTGCTTCAGAGCAGCTATGTCCCGTAATTCCGTCATGGGGGGCTAAAACACACCCAGAATAATTTGATGTTTCAACCCCTCTTGTGACAGTAGTTCTGCTACAGCTCCGTATCAGCCCTGTCGCTAACACGAGCCCTTGGCAATCGCTTTGGATGCTCGCTCTGCCCAGTGCTGCGAAAATTAACAGAACATCTATAAACCAAACACCAGATTATGCAGGGCTGATATATGATAATTTATGTTCTGAAACTGGATGGGCTTCTTATTTGGCACACAGGATTATTGTCTACGACTCTTACACCACGAAGATTAGTTATGAACAAGCTATGGTGCTGCTCAGACGGGATTACTACTTAGGCTTGAAGCTGCAGCAGGGAGAAGAGGGCTTTTACAAAGGGTATTTTCTGTTTACAAAGAAAAAATTTTAGTAAGTAAAGCAGCCAGAAACAGACAGTGAGCAAGGGAAAAGCCAACACATTCAAATGCTCTATCTTCCTCCAAATGTGGTTTGATGAAAGCTGAAACAGCAGATCTAATTTAAAACAGTCACCTATTAAATATTACATGCTGAAGCCGAGGAACATCGCCTAGAGCTCAGGGCAGTGAGCCTGTTGATATCCAGATAGGAACGAAACCCGAGGAAAGCAGCCATTTTGTTGAAATTCTCAGGGCACTTTAAAAGACTCACTGTCACAAGTATCTCACTAACAAAACATTAATAATAAAGCTCTGCCCAGAGAGAAAAACAGTCAGTCCTTCAGCAGCGATTTATTATTTTTTTTTAGGTTAACAGAGCAGCCAAGTCCCAAACATGCTTCAAACAGATCCTACTTCATAACTGCTTTTCACTGGAAGTATTTACATTTACTATCGTTATCTGTGTTGACATGCTCAGGCACACCAAAGCGAGCTAGAGATACAGGGATGAGAAACCCTGCAAAGGTCTGGACTTCTCCAAAGAAGCATTATTAATTGAAATAAACCCCCTTAATTTAATAGAATTGAATTGAACTGGAAGCTTGGTCACTAATATCCGAGTTAAATTCTTTTTGCTGTCAAAATAAGAAAGGGTGAATTGGAAGGAGGAATCCGGATGCACTTAAATGCATAAATGAATTATAAATTAAAGATTATTAGGACATTAGCTTAAATCAGAATTTCCAAGCAGCCTAATTTGCTGAATGACAGTTTGCAGTACTTGATCCATTCATGTTTTCATCCATCAAGACAAGCCGTGCGGTTAATTCTTCCTGTTATTACTGAGAAAAGCGTATTTTAGATTTCAGCTTCTCAGTGCGGGGAGTAAGCTCCTGTTTCAATTTCAGCATTCACTGCAGATAAAAACCATTTAAGAACAACTTAAGCTCACTTCTCCAGCAAAAATCCTTTCCTACCTCCTTGAGACATGATATTGATCGATTCTTCATTTTGTTTCTTTCCATTTCACAGCTTGTTTTGTTTTCTAAGCATGGCAGCTTTTGCATTTCAAGAGTTTTCAGCCCGACTGCACCATCTATACCCCAGGAGCAGAGGCTTTTTCAGACTCAGTACAGCAATATGGGTTTGATACCGCTTCCAGTTCGGTTTTCTATACAATTGCTTTTGCACTCATGAATCAAAGCAGACACCCCAGAAGCACTAACTTTGCCTCAGACATCTATCTGTAAGTGGTTCAAACATCAGCAACATACACACCTGTGGAATATAGCTGTGGAAGTGACACAAGACCATATTTAAATGCCCCAGGCAGAAGGAAACCAACTGGTTTTGCATCAGTCTCAGCGAAGAGTAAGAGTTTTGCTTGGTGGTGACATATCGCGCATGCTGGTGGAGGAGCAAAGGGCCATCAAAAGAACAGCTCAGAAGCTAACGCCCACCTGAAACCCAACAGCACAAACATTTGCTCCAGTAAAGTAGCATCTAGGGACAGCCCGTCACACCGTCACCACTGTAAATATTTAATCAGTCAAAAACCTAAGCCTTTGCCAATAGCAGAGCAGTGAGTGGAAACTCCAGCTGCCCTCCAAGCACGTGCAAGATCAAACAGCATCTCCAAAGCTCGTCACCACACACCCCATGCCATGGAAGGAAGCATTAATAAAATAACCAACATGTCATATTTTATGGTAGCAGGTAGAGCAAGAGCAACCTCCCCATGAGAAGGTTTAAAAGATTTCTTGATAAATTAAGAGAGACTTCTCACTTGCCTCAGCTGTAGCTCTTGTTGATGACCTGGAGACCAGCATCATCAGGTGCACTGTGTTTTTCCCCCGCTCCTCTCCAGATGACTCCAGGTCACAGAGCTGGTATGCAGGCAGGCATGCCCTAAACCTCCAGGCCAATACAAACAGGCAATGCTCAACTGCAGTAAGTGCCAGAGCAGAAACCTCCCACAAGTCTTCAGTTACTTCAAAACCCAACAGGTTTGCAACGCTGACGCTCCCAAAGGACAACAGCTCCTTCTATGCCCACAACACAGAGCAAGGGCAACCAACACAACAGACCTTACATACACCATGCAGCTGCTTCCTTCATCAGGTGGTAAGTGGACGCGGCCCAAAATTCTGCAATAACTAGGTCATCTACTCTGTGAACACTACTGCTCTTCACTTGCATCTCTCCCGGCCCCATACAGGTAACCTTAGACATAAACATACAGAGTAGAAAATGTTTTAAATAAGTTTTTAGCCTGAATAACATTACAGTAAGACTGTCATCGTAAGATCTGCATAGTTTTGCAAGTGCACTGAGCAACCTTCATTTGTGAAGATCCATTCGCATCTATTCTTTCAGGAGATGATTGAAGGAAATGTCACAAGCGCAAAACCTCACTTCTAGCAGCTTAATAAAATTCCCAAGAACTGAATGTAGCAGATGAGATGTGTTGAGTACTTCCAGGACGTGATCTACTAAAGAGGGTAACTTCAAACTTGCTCATTTTTAAACAACACCAACTAAGCACTCAGAGAAGCTGCTGGAAAACTTTCATGTAACCTAATATTCCATGGCTCAATTACAGGCAGAACATAAGAGGGCTGAGGTGAGAAGATGGGGACAGCAGCTAAACGGATCGGTCTGGCACCACACATCCATATGTTCCTCTTCTGTCATTCTCTGAGGCTTGGGAGAGAATCACACCATGGGACATTTCTGCCATTAGCCATCTCATGGTTTATGAGGCCAGTACAGCATGCACAGGTGGACCCGAGATGCTTCTTGTCTTCCAAACACCTGTTATAAATAACAAGATCAGGACTATTCAATCTCTATGCACCCACTGAGGATATGGTCTTCGCATCCTACAGCCCCATTGAAGCCACACTAAGTGACTTTTTTGAAGTACCCACCTCTGAATCACCCAAAAATTTACCTGTTTCCTGCTACTGGAATTTCCAAGCAACTCCGCATGAAGCCAGGCTACTTCCCTGTGACATTGCCAGTCACTGCTGTCAACTGCTGTCCTCCGGCTGGCATTTACCACTTCACTTGAACTTGCCATTAACATATACATAGGCTTCGGTTGCCATGTTGATCATCTCCTTAGCTTTCTTCAACTCATTAACTTCCCTTCTCTTAATTTTGAGAATTTGGCTTTACAGAATTATGGAATTAATACCATAATGTGATGGCACCAAATAGCAGCTTGATATTATGATTTCGTCTTGTAGTAATCTATCTGCACTTTACTGATCATTTCTAGCTCTAATGGATGTATGCTCTTTTAGTAGAGGAAGATAATAAAAAACAACTTTGGAGAAAACTATTACTTCAGCTAACTGGTTCAAGAAACAGAGATGAAGCAGTCAGCTGCTTTATGTTTTCTCCGAGCCTTTTGGAAAGTTTTCAGGTTAATGATTAGGAGCAGCAACAAAGATCCATTGTCTAACAAAGCTTTTAAAATCAGAAAAGAAAAAATACTAAAGCAACAACTCCAGGATGAATTAGCAGATTTGGAAATGCAAAAACTGAATTCACACTGTAAATAAAAGAAGATGGGACGGATTTGCCACGCTGCTCAGGTGTGCTGGGCAGCGCTGGCTCTCAGATGACTGCAGAAGCTCCACCACCAACTCAACACAAATTAGAAACGGCATATGGGCTACCACCAAGGAAGGCATTTTCCAATGTTTCAGCTACACTTGCTTCCATACCAGGAGATCTATGGTTTGATGACAGGATACAGAGGGATGTTAACCCTTATTTTATACATTTAATCTGAAGAACACTTTGGCTTGTACTTCCCTTTGCTACAGTTCTGGAGTATAAAGTCAACCCTTTGAAGAGCAAAGGCCCACAGGTACAGAGGCCCAGTGAATTTGACCAAGTTACGCCACCGTACTTGAGGACTATGGAACAAGAGGTCTTCCAACGCACATGCTTTCACAAACCATTTCTCCCTTTTAGCTCTTTTAGAATAAGGAGTGCTATTGTTTTACTTCCCACAATAGCACTATCACCCAAAGTATTTCCCTCCTCCAGGTGTCTCCCACCACAAGAAATCCCAATGCATGAGCAAAAGCTCAGCAAATCTGTGTAAGCAACCCGAACCACAGCTATAGTTTCCAGAGTTGCCACTGAGCAACTATAGCTGACGTACTGAGAGAGAATCGGAGTGGGAGCACGTGGGTACCAGAGTACGTTTCAGAACAGGTTTATTCAGCCCATTGCCTCCCACTCATGAATTTGCAAAGAGTAGGAGACGGTGATGGCATCATTTCCATATAATTCTTCCAGTTTACTATTTCAGTAGCTCCTTAATATCTCCCATTACGGAGGAAGAACATAGCACAAGGCACAGCTGCCAGGCTGTGGACAAGGTGATATTAAAAGCCCAACCTGCAACCCAAAAGAGTTTTGGCTATCCTGAATGTAAAGGATCTGCAGGTTCATCCAGGTAGAGTCCAGGCTCTTGGCAATTACCAATTTCCTCCTCATGCCAAACCTTCAGTCAATATCCAGTGCCCCACAGCATTGCTCCTGTTAGGATGAGAAATCAATGAAAGAAAAAGATGGCTATTTAGAAAAAGCCGTATCGGACCTCTGTTTGCCAATCACAAACAACACGTAGTCACCTTCCCTGCTCATCCATAGAGTATTACTTGCACAAGCAGCAGCCACAAAGGACATTTCAGCCCCCTTCCCTCTTGACATTACACATCACTGCTCTTCCAGAACCCCAGGTTCTGTTTTTCCTCTACTGTACGTGAACCTGCAGTATAAAAATTCTCACCCCATTACACTTCATTTTGACCTACCAGAGTTACTGCACTGTCCACATACCTGTGCCACAAACATATCCAACTCCATCGAACACAGAAGAAAACCATTGGGTTTCCCCAGACCACAAGCATCCCCAGGGGCAGAAAGCAGCATCATTTGACTGTCAGACCACCAGTCTCCAGAAGACTAGCAAAGACACATGGGTATGGTATCAATTTGGGTCTCAAGCCAATATGACAACTCCCTAGTGTGGGGCTTGAAGAAAAAAATACTATATTGGTTCAGGAAGAATGCAAAAAAATGCTTTCTTTACAGAAATAAACAATGCTGAATAAAAGCAGAAGAGTTTAGCAACTAGGCAACATGTATCAAAACCCCTTGGCTTAGCCCAAGAGCATGGGTTGATCAGACCCAGGTAAGAAATCTCTTCCCTTGCACAAGATTTAAGAGACACTGAGGAAGACTCCAGAAACCCAAAACAGCTTAGCCATGCACCAGCTCTATTTTTGCTTGTAAGATAAAGTAACAGCTGCTTGGATTATTATTTTACTTGGAAATAGGGCAGTAACTAGGCAGGGCAGTAAAATGTGCTTTTCGGAACCTGCTCCAAAGAAGCTGCATCCCATTGCCTCCAGACCAAGGAGTAGCAGCTCAGAAATATTTATTTCAGCAGCAACACAAGCTCGCGCAACCGTCAGCTCCTGGGACTGACCATGCAGCAATGGGAGCCCAACTGCTTGCACGGCTACACATGAACCAGACAGAGGAACAGACCTGGGTTAAGGGGGTCACTGGTTTATTATAACCCAGATGAGGATCACCGTGTCGCCAGACAGCTGAGTTGGCACAACTCTGACAACAGGGACTTGCTTCCAAGAAATTTGTTTGTGAAATCAGTCTGCTGAGAGTGACATGTCAGACACGCCAAGGTTGGGTCTTCCCCCTGTCAACACACTCTCCAAATCTTCTTGTCCCAAAGACTTTAAAACAATTTGATGCAAGTTACAGCCAGAGGTCCTACTTTTCTCCTCCATTATCCCACCAGCATTTTTGTCGTACATCTCAGAAAGCATTATCCAGAAAGATTCACTGTCTTGATGAGAAACAATGTTTGTCGTCTTTCTTCCAAAAGCTTTCTCCATTTGCATGACAGATCTTGAGGGAGGTGGTTGCTCAGGAGTGCAGTCCAGCTACTAACCAGAGCAGGACCTAGTGCTGCCTATATCCTCATTACAGTGTCTGGGGTCTGTATTCTGCTGAGCTACCAGACAGAAGATTTTGATAGTAAACTGTGGGAATACCACCAATCTCTACAAAGATGTGTCCTTAACGTAACCAAGACAGAAATACACTTTTCTTTAAAAGTCTTTTATTAGTCAGCATTGGAAAGACTGGAAGTGGCATGTCAGGTCAGCTACCCATCAAACTGATAGAAGGAAAACAACCCAAAGCACCAGATTTGGGTTTCAGGGGAACGCTGCTGTCTTCAGCAACTCAGCTTCTGAATGAACTGTGTATTTCTGGGAGAGTGCAGGTCTGCCAATGTGAGCCACAGAAACCCTCCTGTTTGCAGGCAGAAAGAGATGGTAAAGCAATAAAGCTGAAAAAGGAATGTTACTTTACAACTTTTTCCCTTAAATCACTTTATAGAAGTCTGAGGTGTCTCAAAAAAAATTTAAAAGCTTTCCCTGTTTCTTTTTCTTCACTCAAATACCTATCAGTACATTAATTTCACTTTTCAGCACAGTCAGCATTGTACAGTGCCAGATTCACCCATAGGGCTGTACCCATTTCATGGGCTTGATGGATCTGTAGGAAACTGGCACCATTCCTCCCCATCAGGTAGCAAAACGGCTAGCTCCGTTAGCTCCAGTTTCCAGCAGCTCACACAATGTAAAGAACGTTTCAACCCTGGCCAGTGAACTACTTACTGGTCAGTAGTAGCTGGGACTTCTCCATGGATTTTGCACGCCCTTAGGATAACAGAACTTCACTTTTGCGGCTTTAAGCACATTCAAAGGCATTACCTGGTCAAAAGGCACTGGGTGGGCAGTAAGTCTTAGGAGGATGCTATTAGCAGATCTATGAAGGTATCTGAAGTACTTCACCTCAGAAGGAAATCTGTACTGCACAAGACCCAGTCTTACAGCCACAAAGAATGGTTTTGAGAATTTGCTCTTTTGATGGCAGTTTTACAAAACGTATCTTTGATCAACAGTATGTCCTTTGAAAAAGGCCAAACCCTCACGTCATTCCTGAAGATCTTCTATCACACTTCATTCACGAAGATCTGCTGTACCAGAACAGTAACTGACCAAAAAATGTCTGTTCCACTTAAAATTAAAAACACACCTGCAAAGTCCTTCCAAGAAGAGTATCCTATAGTATCTCATGATGTCAAAAGACTATTTTTTCCTAGGATAACTTGAAGAAATAATGATACTATGGCATACTTGAATCAGGGAAAGTCTGAGAGGATGAGGATATTTTTCTGACTCCCAGCATCACAGCAATACTGGGAAGGGTAAATTCCTGATAACTTGTGTTCTTTTTCCATAGAAAGTTTCCGTAGCAGGTCTGTCTGCAGGCTCAAGCATGTGCCAAGAAAACAAGTAATGGATTTTCTGGATTAAATTCTCTGGAAAGGTGTCTCAAATTGTCCTTTTCCTGGTCTCAATAGTCCTTCAAGATGATGAATAAAGAAACGGTGTCCTCTCTTTAGATAGTGTGCAAGCACAGGATCAGACCCAAGGATGTTCAGCATAAATACATCTCTCAAATGATGGTTAAGTCTCAATTTGTTGGGTGATCTGTCTCCCACCTGCTTTTGTTACTGGGCAGTAATGGAGAACATCTATCACAGCGTGTCCTAACACAAAGAAAAACAACTTATCACAGAAGATATAATCCAGCCAAATTATACATCACCTCAAGATAACCACCGTTGAGTTCATTCCTTAAAATTCGTTGTCTCCAGGATAGCCCCTGACAGCGAACAGAGCCTTACCCCAAAGCGCACCACCAGCACAAACATGTGGTTCTTCTCACCTGGCAGTTACTGCAGTGCCCGATTACGCAGCCTTTTCCTCCTCTGACAAGAAAGGGAGCAAAAGGACAGACTACCTCTTGCAGCAGCAGTCAGAGCTCTCGGATTCACAGGTACTTGGAGGGAAATACTTACGATGCAAAAATCTTAAAATAACACGCCTGTGCAGCCTGTGTCCTGAATCCGGACTTCCACTTCAGAATGTTATAATTAACATTCTCCAACAAATATACAGACAGGGAGAAGAAAATGGTAAGGCACGTAACTTCTTCCATGCGCACAATGAAGTCACACCCACAAAAATCGGTAAAAGAGCTACAATGAAATGTAAACGAAAGCCATACCTATTAAAAACTTTTCTCATGGCAATGGCCAGGTTAGCTCAAATGTATTTTGATACACAGTCACCGGTGGCATGCAACAGTTAACCCCTTCAGAGACAACGTGACACAGGTTTGGCTGATGAATTTTTACCCAGTGGCACTTTACAAGAACATTAGAGAATATTTACAATGAAAAAATCCTTAACATTCTTCCATCTTATTTTTCTCCTCCAGGCCTCAGTGTGGCAAGCATCCAAGCACTAGGTATTTCTCCTCACTTCTCTGTCCCTTATTGCTTCCGATTTTGTCCTTTTCTCAAAGCAGCACCACTCTTACCTCCTCTGGCATGCTTCACTTGGACAGAGAGGAAAATTTACCCACTCACCAAAGCAGCAACACACTACATAGTACTTTAGGAAAGAAATAAAAAAACCCCACACTTCCCACAAGCTGACTTCATCTCCCCATCACTGCACAAAGGCCTGAAGCTTGTTTACTCTTGCACATACCTGGCTAAAGGGAGCACTTGGGTGCACCATGTCACAGCAGTCACTCACCATCCAGCACAGATTTAACAAGCATCCCCATTTAGCAATCCAGCTCCACAACCGGATCCCAGTTCTTACCACCACCTTCTCATTTTCTGACAGCAGACCTTGCCCATGTATCATCACTGCATCATTCAGCAGAAAGACTGATGCCTTGCCAAATTGCAATGCAATACAAAACAGAAAGTGCTTAACCCTTTGAAGTATTTACTGGCAAAATATGTTTTATACACACATGATGTCACCCTGACAAATGGGCAGTAAATCTACCCCAGTGATGCCTACGCCTTACTCTACAACCCTCAAGCAAGCAAGAAAAAAAAGAAAAAAAAAATTTAGCCATCTCAACACTTCTAAACCAGATAGGCCCCAAAAATCATTGCCAATACATCAGTGTCATGGGGATGCAATCTTTAGCAACATCTTTACCTTGGCAAAAGCCCCAGAGCAGCTGTGGTTATAGCTTGTATCGCTTCCCTGCACAAAAGCAGCTATACCTGCAAAAGCACTTTTTTCTGCTGGCAGAAGCTACATCTGCACTAGGAAAATCTGCCAGCATCCTTCTCCCAACAAGCCTCTTCTAGTTCAAACCATTTTTTAATGATGACTTTGCAGTTTATTTACCATACTCTGCTCATTTAGTCTTACTTAGTTTTATAGCCAACAAAACAGAGTCCTGGCAACATCCTATTTTATGAGCTGGGATTTCCACTGTAAGAATTAATTTTGCCTGTTTACACCCCAGAACTTTTGCCTCCAAGGGCTCCACAGAAGCCACCTTTGAAGAAAGGATATTCTGGAGGCATGAAGAGTTTAGCAATTCTCTTGTTCATTCTCATCCCTATTCTTTAACAAGATACACCCAACATCGTAACTGCAGTCTCTAACGGCTGCATGCATTTTTAACCAACTACCTGAGCTCCCTTCGAGTTATGAGAAAATGCTCTGTTGGGATTCAATACAGAAATAACAAAACATAAGTCAGACAGCAGTTGCAGAAAATAGGAAACCTCAAATTTTTTCCACCATTTTCTCATTTAAGGGCTTTGAAGACCTGCCTCTATACAAACTTGCGCTCATTTAATCTGTAGTATTTCTAAATCAGTCGAGTTAAACCAGCAAGTATGTGCAGACCCTCCAAAGCACCTGGAGCATCTCCCTTTCCATAGTGAATAAGAAACAAACCTGGACATGCAATTTTGTATTTGGTGGACTGTGCACTCGCTGACAAAGATATCCCTTGTTCCCCTCCCACTAAGATATTGCTATCTGTCATCAGACACTGTGCTTCTGCAAGAGGAAAAACCCACCTAATCAGTCCTGCTTTACTACCAATGTGAAGGCTAGCAATATGAATAATTATCTGCCAGTCATTAGCATAATTAAACGCACTGAAAGGGCTGGCACCCAGCCTCTTCCAAATCACAGCACTGCCAGCCTGTGGAGATACCCTGGCAAGTGATAGCAGTACACGGGTCAGGAGAACTGCGCTGTGGTACACAAGGACGACAGATCCCAAACATCTCTGAGCTCCCTCCCTCCAGTTTCACTATCAGCCATCCCAGGCATCCCTAAAGACAACTTCAAGTCTTGGCACTCTGCTCCTAGAAGCTATCATCCCAGCTAAAAACTAAGCATCAGATACACAAAGCCAGTTCCCAAACAGTAACCCTCAAAGTAGATTAACGACACCAAGCAGATGAGAGGTTCAAAAGTTAAAACAAGCAAGCCAAGAAGCAAGCATCTTAACAGTTTCTGTACAATCTCTGAACCCATTTGCAGCACACCAACACAGAATTCCCAATTGAAGGCAAAGCATCTTACATTTCTAAACCGCAATAGTCCACAACTGTATCCCATTATACTTGACTGTTACTGTCATACAGAACTACACTCGCATTTGCTATCAACTATGATCATCCAACATAAAAATATGGCAGAGTTAATTTCAAGTACTAATATCAGCTCTCTTAACAATACAAATGTGGTGGTGAATAGAGTTAAATCCAGCTGGCAACCAGTCACAAGTGGTGTCCCCCCAGGGCTCAGCACTGGGCCCAGTTCTGTTTAACATCTTTATCCATCATCTGGACAAGGGGATCGAGGGCACCCTCAGTCAGTTTGCAGATGACACCAAGCTGGGTAGGAGCGTTGATCTGCTGGAGGGGAAGAGGGCTCTGCAGAGGGACCTGGCCAGGCTGGATCCATGGGCCCAGGCCAATTGGGTGAGGTTCATCAAGGCCAAGGGCTGGGTCCTGCACTGGGGTCACAACCACCCCACGCAACGCTACAGGCGAGGGGAAGAGTGGCTGGGAAGCTGCCCATTGGAAAAGGACCTGGGGGTGTTGGTCGACAGGCAGCTGAATATGAGCCAGCAGTGTGCCCAGGTGGCCAAGAGGCCCAGGCGGCGAGCGAGTGGCTGGGGGAGCTGGGGGTGCTGAGCCTGGAGAAGAGGAGGCTGAGGGGAGACCTTATTGCTCCCTACAAATGCCTGAGAGGAGGGGGGGAGCGTCAGGCTCTGCTCCCAGGGAACAGGTGACGGGACGAGGGGAAATGGCCTCAAGTTGCACCAGGGGAGGTTTAGATTGAGGATTAGATAAAGTTTCTTCACTGGAACAGGCTGGCCAGGGAAGTGGTTGAGTCCCCATCCCTGGGGGTATTTAAAGCTGGGCAGACGAGGTGCTTAAGAGACATGGTTTAGTAGTGGACAGGTACAGTTGAACTCGATCTTAAAGGTCTTTTCCAACCAAATGATTCTATGAAGTAAGTAAGTTCCAAACACATCATTTTACCAAGTAAAATAAAGAGAAGGGTTATTACAGAACATGCTAAAGCATATATACAATATGTATAAATCAAACAATACTACCTCAATTTGCTCAGACAGCCTTTCAGTCATCACATAAGTATTACTAACTACCAAAACAAAGATGTCATACACATTTGTTCATCAGATCTTCATAGTCCTTAGAAATTGTTACTTTATTTTCCTGTATGCATATTAGGTGGGATTTTACCCCAAATGCCTTCCACTTCATCCAAAAAACAAAATTCATATTTATAGCATCTACTGCATTTTTCTACACCTGAAAAAGTGATCCCAGAATGAGAACCATCACTCTTCACTTTAAGGCAAGGACTTGTGGTCAGGGCTTACTAGAGCTTGTTAGAGCTCCCAGAAAAGAAACGAAGCCACTAACTAAGTGTTGGGAGTGTTCTCCTTCCTAACTTTTTACCAAAAGGTTGCTGTTTGGCCTAGTTTTAAAATACACCAATCACCAAAGCTCTGACACTTCTGAGCACCCATTCTGGAGTCTCATCAGGCCTTGGGAGGTTTCTCCTTTGGTTACCCCCTCAAGACATGGCTCTCGCACACACGCTCCCTTCTTCCCAGAAGAACTCCTTAACTCCTCTTCTTCCCAGACCATTCCTTCCACCTCCCTGTTTCTCAGATCCCTGAGCCTGACTAGGATGTAGATTATTATGAGTTAACTTACAGTAAGTTATTCTCCCCACACAGAAAAGCACATTGCAAGGGAGACTGTTTACTCATGTGAGTTCTCCTGTTTTCCCCTAATCCCTCTCCACATTTCTGCCAGACAAAGGAATGCTTATTGCATTTGTATTTTGTTACACAAGAACTGTGCAATCCAAAGTTATCAGCTGCAGAAGGGATCAAAGTTTTGAAAAACTATCCAGAGCTCTTTCAAAAGTTAAATAAGCACCTATAAATATACATGCACCCAAAACAGGGCACAAAAACAGTCTTCAGGTGTAGATAACACACGCATGTCTTTTGCTGACAGTGCAGAGTTCAGCAATTCAACCACCATCGCTTCTGGCAAGTGGAGCAAAGCAACTGCTCGCAGGGTCAAATAAAGTGGGCTGACTGATAAGAGCAGGGAAGAAGAGGCACATTTAATCAGAAAGTTCACTGATCCCATTCATTATTTGGCCCTGCAAACAGCTGTACCCATGCAGTGAGGGAATGGGAACTGCCCAAGTCAAGAGCAACATACAGATAGTCATGCCCCTGCATCTCAAAAAAAACCACATCACTTGGGATGACCATTAGACACCCAAAGAAACTCAAAGCACCGGAACAGTTTGAGTTTGTTGGCGTTTCAAGCCAAGCAGCAGTGGGAGCCTACCAAGAACAGGCCACACTGCCTCAGCTCAGAAAACCAAAAAGGAAGCTACCCAGCATGAAATACTTCACTATACACCGACTATTTTACCAGTTTACACACACATCAAAGCAGCACAGGAATGTTAAAATCAAGTATGTCCCACCATGATTTTTATGTAATGGATTTGTTTAAATACCAGCTACTTCCTCTGTGGCTCTGAAAAAGCTTTGCTAAAGTAAACAGGTCGAACACACCTTGCCAGGGTAGCACACTCATATGGCTTACCCAACACACTCCGTCAGAGGTTGACTTGGCTTACTGATACCAGGCAGGAAGTGGAAGTCTTCCGAACCGCTTAAGATTTTCATTTCTTTATCTTGGAAGAAAGTGTCTTCATGCTTTCTCCTTAACAGGAATAGGCAGACAGTAAGTTTTAAAAAAATATCCTTTGAACTGACACCCAAAGAGGTCAGTTCTGACTATTTTCAGTTGCAATTTTACAGATTCTTCTGGTTGTATGTTTTTAGTATGTATTCTCCACCTCAGGAGGACTTTAACTGTGCACAAGCAGAATCCTTCTGAGCAGGAGCTCCTACTCTATCCCGTTTATCCACCAGAAAACAGAGTCTGCATCTTTCATCTGGTGAAATAACACACAAAATATCACTCCATCAAGTGCACACCATTTTTCTAAAGGGCTGTAAAGGCAATAAGCAAATATCCAAGATTTTAATTTCCCGCATTGGGATGATCTACCTCCAGGTCTCAAATTCCTCAAATCACAAAGCAATCAAAGCTTGATCTTTTGTGAATTAACATGCACCCTTCCCCACATGAAAAGGCATGTTCACGGTGTCCCAGAACATGGAGGGTGCCTTGGACCAGGAAGTAAGGCAGAGAATCAAGTCAGAAGAAAAACCTTTTCTCTTTCACACCTTTACGCTTCAGCCACGAGTATTTTCCCAGAAGACCTATTTTTGAAGCAGATGGCCAAGACATGATCCTTGCACTGGAAATGAGAAGTGCCACATGGTGCTCTGGGATGTAAAAGTTTTAACTGAGAAAGACAAAAAACCAAGAACACACTAAAAAAAGGTTGGAAGGAACTTAATATGCCAGGATGAATAAGTGGGCACTGCCTAGAAACCACCAGTAGCTCCAGAGAAGGCCAAGAAGCAGAGTTTTAGGTAGGTACACAGGCTACCACCCAGTTACTCCTAGGTTATGGCCAAGAACCACCTTCTTCCAGGGCTCTCAGTTTGTTCCCCTGTCCCCAGCAGCAGTATTTGGTTCCTCTCCCCAATAAATCCACAGAGGACTACAACCTTTTGCTGTCAAACAGACATGCCAGAGTGCGGCGACAAGGAAAGGTGTACACCGTTACATGGTCATGGAGAAGTCGCAAAACACTTAAGCTGTTTGGACTCCATGCTTGTCCAAAGGGAGGACACCAGAGGGATACACATGTCCCTCCTAAGCCAATTCTTTCAGATTTTTTTTTTCCTTACTGGACAGTGGTAATGCCTACCAGCTCTCCCATCAGCTCCCAAACACTGCCCAAAACAGCTGGCAAGACCACTGGCACCGCCAAAAGGCACCATGATCGCCAACACACTAGCACAAGGCAGGCCAAAGTGGCCAGAAGCAGGCAGCTAAGCTACAATAGGAAGCAGCAAAGTATTTTAAAAAAAGTATTTAAATAGCTTATTAGCATCTTCCTTGTTCCAAGCGAGTTAGATACCATTGAAAGTACCTACATAGGACTTCAAGCCTGAAATTATTCCTGATATTTGGCAAAAGTTTTCAGTCTCTAAAAACAGGCAAAAGACCTGATAGTTGTATTCGAGCATTACATACATACAGTGGTTCAAACACTCACCACAGTGAACTACTCTGAATACCAATAATAATTACTCAGCATTACTATGCCATGTAAACAAGGGACCTCTTTTGGAAGAGTGTCTGTAGTTATATGGCCATTTCAAGTTCTAAAAAGGCACCAACCTGGGAAGCACAAACACTACCAAACTAAGTTACATGTGAAACTCAGCTACCGAGGAAGCCTCGAACAGCCGTTTTCAAAGGACTCGTTTAAACAGTATTTCCATCACAGCTCATGATCAAAAGCTAAAAGCAAGCTGAGGAATCAAATACTGGCCAAACTTAAGGTTTTCAACATTCCCAACTTCAAACACCTGGGATGGTGAAGATATTTAAATATTAGCAGAATTTCCATTATCAAATTAAACATTTTTCCCCTCCAGCTCACTTCCTTGTCACGCTGGAGCCTCCTGCACCGATATCCGACATGAGCTCGGGAGTCCTCTCTCAAACATGCAGGCATCTGTATTCCGGGCTGCACCATTTGGCATTATGAGTAGCTACGAACCCTCCGTGTGTGTTTTACAACAAACGAGGCTGACGTTGTCTTGCAAATGCAGAAGCTACTGAATGACTTTATGGAATTCAGCAGCATTGTATGCCTATATACACACAAAAGCCTCCAAACGTTCTTTACGGCTGCCAATAATACAGCATAGCCAGCCAGAAACAAGAGAAAACATCACTTGCAATATTTTTAGATCCTTCTAACTCTAAAAGTAATAGAAGTCCAGAAGAGAGGAAGCATGATCCTGAACAGATAAGTTACAGACTGCACTACATGGAGAGGACTTGCAGCCTTCACAGTTACTTCCCATGGAAAGTCACAAGGCTCGCAACAAATTCTGGATTCTTTTCGCAGTTTTCAGCTGTTCAAAATTGTCTTTCCTAAGCGGAGGGACAATCAGCTACTGTCTCCAGAAAGAAAAGGCTCCTAGAAATTATTTCTGTATGAAAACCTTAACTCGCTATTGTAACACGAGCGCAGCTTGGCAATCAACGATCGCTTCCTTAAACTTCTCTAT